ACATGGACAACAACATCATTCAGCATTACAGCAACCACGTCGCCTTCCTGCTGGACATGGGGGAGCTTGACGGCAAGATTCAGATCACCCTCAAGGAGCTGTGAAGACCCCGGGGTGAGCTCCAGGCAAGGAGCCAGCTGCCCCAGGGCCCCATGCCACACACAGCCTCTCCTCACGCCGCAGTGCTGTTACTTGAACGCCTTCCCAGGGGAAGAGGCCTTGAGACGCAGATGTCAGGGCCAGGAAGGGACCTGGGAGGTGTCCTGCTCTGAACCCCCACCTCATGCTTGAATCTACTCTCTGAACTCTTGCCAGTGCCTGCTCAGCCCGAGACAGTGTCGTCCTGGTCACCGTACCCAACAGACGTTTCCGTCGCTGTGGTCGCTCCGCAGGCTGGCTCTCCAGATGCTGGAGGCGGACCCGCTCTCCCAAAACTGACCTGACCATTGTCCAGCTCCCATTCTTGACTATTCCATCAGCTTTGGACCAAGGATTCCTCGCCCTTTGTTCAGTGAACTTGAACACTCTTGATGTTTAGTGCAAATGACTTCTAAAGGAGGACACTGTGGTGGATACACCCTCTTTCTCATGGACTTCCTCTGTGCCCGGTGTAAATAACAGAGCTGACTGACTAGAACGAAGTGCCCACTGTGTAAATGACCGACACCATGCCTGCTCACTGCTGTACACATTTCTCATTTACAGTTTTCATTTATGTTATATATATATAAGTATATATTGTATATATATGCAACATTTTATATTTTTCATGGATACATTTTTATCATTTCAAAAAATGTGTATTTCACATTTCTTGGACTATTTTTTTAGTTGTTATTCAATTATGCATTTTGTATACTCATATAGTATTTAGTAATAAAATTCTGCCTATGTGTTACTTCAAATGCTACATTTGTTCCTTTTGTGAAAGTCGGCCAGGAAGAGAGGATGAGGGTGGACGAGGCCTCCCTCCTCTATGCTGTGAGCAGTTAGCCCTGGACTTGAAGGACAGCGGTCAGTGCTGGGCACTGGTAAAGCAGATGGCCCCACCTGGAGGGCAGCAGAACCCTGATGCCCAGATCTCTGTCCCACAGGCTCAATGTTATGACCTAAGGATCACTGACTGGGCACGAAGAAGTCCTGGGAAGGGTCCAGAGTGACGTTGCTACGGACCTCGTAGCTGGGGCTGGTGGGTAGAAACCCAAGTTCTTGTGCCAACTCTGCCCCTTCACCCTTGGCTAAGCCATTTTCCCTGGAGCCTGCTCCTACCAGTTCACAGAAGTAAATGTGCTCATCTGTTCTCAACTCTGGTCGGTGACCTCATGTTGGGGGCAGTATTTGTACCATGGGAACTGACAAATGCTACAAACCAAGGTCTTTACTTTCCCTAAAGAACAAATCACTCTTTCCTCCCTGTGCTGGCTGACCAGCACACCACCACCTCGGGAACTCGGCTTCTTTGGCTGTAAGATGCAGGTCTACTTGGGTCATTTGTAACTATCACCTTCAGAGCCCCAGGATTCACTGTGGGTCTCAAAGGCCTCCCTGATGTGGGGACAGCAGGCAGCCCTCTAATCACAGCAGCTTTGCTTTCCTCCATTTACATATAAGGTTTCTCATAAACTTTTGTCTGAACAAAACTTTTTTTTAAGTCTGAAAACGAGGCACATGTCTAAGGCCTCCCAGCCCTGGCAGAGTTCCCAAGGCGCTGCCTGGAGTCGGGGCAGGACAATGGTCAGGCAAATGAGGCACTAGCCTCAGGAGCAAAACTCAAGAGACGCAAAGAACTCAGTGATCAAGATAAATCATAGTTTGATGCGATGTGTCTTTTTAATAATTAAGGCAAACAAATCCACAATGAACAAAATACAAACGTTTTGCAGCCAGGATCAGTGCTGATGCTTTCTTTGGCCTCAGGCTCTAGTATGGCCTGCTTGGCACAGCTCAAGGACCGCGTGGGTCACCAGGCTGCTCTGCCCACTCCAGGCCCCGCTGCTGCTGTGACACCACCCTAGATGCCAGATGGTGGTGCGCCAGGGTGAGATGGCAGAGTGTGTGCGGGGCATCCGCACGTTGCCAGGCGCGGAGTCCTCGGGTCTGTATTTCCCTCCTTCCTGAGCTTCCTGCCACCTCCCCCCAGCCAGGAAGCTGGTGCGTCTGGACCTTGATTGCACACTGGAAGCACCTGGGCAGCCTTTATCCCAGCACAGACCCCACCCTGGAGCAATTAACTCAGAATGTCTGGGGCTAGGGCCCAGGCCTCAGTGCTGTTTAAAGCCCGTTGGTGATTACACTGCTCTGGAGGGGCCAGAGCTATACAGGCCTGGTGGCCTTTGCGGTCTGCTAGGGTCTGGCTGGGTCACACACGGGGGGCTGCAGGGCCAGGGCTGCAGAGTGAAAGGCGCTGGCGGCTCCCCACCCTCTGCAACCGCCTCCTCCAGCAGAGCCCTGGGCCAGGTCTCTCCCCTCCCTGCGGAGGGGGCCTGGGAAGACCCCTGGACAGAGAGCCCTGCGAGCCTGGAGGGAGGTCACGCTGCCCTGGCAGCTGCCATTCCCGGACTGTCTTTCGCCCAAAGAGTGAAAAAGGTGAAAGGAGTGACGAAGAGTCCTTCCCAGACGGGTCGCTGCAGAGACAGGGTGGCCCGTGGGGAGCGCCCGCCTGCAAGGAGCTTCGGCCTGTAGACACACGCCCTGAGTGAGGGGACAGGTGAGTGAGGAGCAGAGCCCAAGGGAGGGGGTGGATCAATGAGGGAAGGAGAAACAGGGAGGGAGGAGGGAGGGAGGAGGGAGAGAGGAGGGAGAAAGGAAGAGGGAGGGAGGAGGGAAGAGGAGGGAGGAGGGAGGGAGGGAGGAGGGAGGGAGGGAGGAAGGAAGGGAGGGAAGGAGGGAGGCAGGGAGGGAGGGAGGGAGGAGAGGAAGAAGAGAGGGAGAAAGGGGCGGCCAGATGAAGAGTTGAACAATGGAGTGTATTTTTTAGACTCTTGCCACTCTGTGTGGTCCATGGACCAGCAGCATCAGTAGTAACACCTGGAAGCATGTAAGAAATGCTCACACCTAAAACTAATACAATGTTCTGTCAACTATATTTCCATTAAAAAAAGAAAAAAAAGAAATGCAGACCCTGAGGCCCTACCCCAGACCTACAGGATCTGCCTTTTAAAGGCTCTCCAATGGACTGTATGTACAGCCACGCTTGGAAAACTTCATTGACCTCTCAGTGTGTCCTGACCCCAACTAGACATGTAACCACACTGAGGACTTGAATAAAGACACCAGTGCCAACCCTCCCTCAGACCAATGACACCGGAGCGTGGGGTGGGCCTGGGCAGGCTGTCCTGTCACAGCCCCTGGGGGATCTGACACGCAGCCGCCTCAAGCCCTGGGCTGCACGGGCAGCAGTACCGACGCCCTAAGAGAGGCCTCTGAGCTCAGGGCCTCAGCTCCAGTCACGTCTTCTGTAGAGCACAGAGTCTGGGTGCCGAGAGCCCTGGTGGTCTCTTCCCAGGCCCCCTTCTTCCCTGACCCTATTGGAGGGGCTCCTTCTGGAAACAGTCTCCACCGGCCGGTGCTCAGCCCAGCTGCTCAAGGGGAGGAGCGGCCTTGTCTTCCGAAGCACTACCCCTGCCTCTGCCCGCGCTGACCCCAGGGCTGGCTGCGTCCAGCCCAATGGCCTGCTAAGGTCCCCCAGGGTCAGAGGGACATAAAACCAAGGCCTTGGGGTCCGGCCCCACTGTCAAGAGTCTGGGGTCAAAGAAAGATACGGTGTTAAGCATCAGCTTTGAAAGGGTCTTCCAGAACATCAAGCACCCAAGCGGACAATGAACGGCTTGCAGAAGAGTTTCCTTAGTCCCCCCGCCAAAATTTTTTAATTGAAATATTGTTGTAAACATCTCGAATCAAGAGACTGCACATCTTAAAGATTTCCCAGATTCTGTTGAAATCTGCAGATCTGGCCACAGCTTGTGGGATCCGTGCCAGATGCCCCTTTAGACAGGCCCCCAGCCCCGCATCGCCCGTTTTGCTCCATGCATTGCCCGCCCGCCCCTGGAAGTGCTTGACCTTGAGCCCCAAATTCTGGTCCAGCTCTTCACTTCCAGGAGCATGTGAAGAGCTGTGAGGACGGAGCAGGAGGCTGCCTTCGACCCCGGCCTCCGCCGCCTCCCATGGTCCCCAAGCAGTGGGTGCTGGTGGGAACCCGGGGCTCCATGAGGGCCAGCTTTTGTGAGAAGCAAGAATTCCGTTTAATTGGATGTCACCTCATCCTTCCAAGCCCTCCCTACAGTTCCACCTGAAGGCCCAGGATGTGACATTCCCAGGGAAGTCAGAGGAGGGGCGGAGGCCGTGAGAGGCCTGGCCTGTGCTGGGAGCGAAGGCGGGCTGCCTGGGGGGCCCACTTGCAAGAGCGAAGACAACGCCAGTATGTGGGGGAGGAGGGCATGTGCGGTTACTTGTTTCCTCCTGGTTCTTTGGGAATCTTTTCCTCTTGCCTTTTGACAGGCCAGAAGAGATACATTAAAGACTGTGTCAGCTTGAGCAGGAGGTCCCGGAGGGGACGGAGACCAGCCGGGTGAAAGTGGGAACCTGAAGTTCAGGGGGTTGCGTGGCTTCCATGCCCCCAGGACCCCTGTTTCCAGGGCTCGGCTCCAGCAGGGTCCTGCCCACATGTGCTGTTGAAAACAGAGCCAACACATGGGTGTGGCGGCCTCTCCTGAAGCAGATGTCGAGCAGCGAGTGACCACGGGGACTGGCTGCCACGCTCGTCCTGGGGGTGAGATGTGAAGGCGTAGCTGGGGGGACGCCTTCGTGTCTTTGTCACGGGCACCTCTGAGCCTCCCCAGCCCTGGATCCCAGCAGGAGCCCGGGAGCCAAGGCCAGAGGACATGCTGTCCACCCCGCGGGTGCAGTCGGCACAGTCTCCTGGGCAGGCACCTGCCCTCGGCTGCCTCCTCCCTGGAGCCCCGAGCAGCCCCGCCCCGTGTTGTCAGCTGTCACACACACAGTAGAAGTTCTCTGAGAACTGCCTGGGCACGTGGCTGGGGCGGCTGGCGGCCAGGCTTCCCCGTGGCCCCGTGAGGCCACTACAATACTGGGATCCACTTGTTGTCCTCGTTGTAGAGAAAGGACTGCTTTCCAGGGAATTCCGGCTTGTACGTGGCTGTGAGGAGGGAGAGGGGCAGCATTAAGAGAGAAAGGGCCAGTGGCTGAGTCCCTTTCACTCTGCATCAGAGCTGACAAGGCCTGTGGGGCCCGTCCCAGGCCCTGCACCATGCATGTGGGGTGACAGAGGAAGGGACCAGCCCAACGTTATCCAGCACTTAACTGGCAGAGGCAGAACTCAAACTCTGGCTCCCACCTTCTTTAACTCCTTTTGACTTCTTTTTTTTTTAATCCTCACCCAAAGACATTTTTCTATTTATCTTCAGATAGAGTGGGAGGGGGAGAGAGAGAAACATCGATGTGAGAGAGACACATCAACTGGTTGCCTCCCGCACAACCCCAGCCAGGGCCGGGGACAAACCACAAACTGAGGTACGTGCCCTTGACTAAAATCGAACCTGTGACTCATTGGTCCTTGGGCCGACACTCTACCACTGAGCCAAACCAGCCACGGCTCCTTTTAACTTCTTTAACAGCAAAAAATTTACAAAAGACCTTTCTATGAAATTTGCAAAAAACATTGAGAAAAGCAATACTCTTTTTTTTGTTGTTGTTTAATCCTCACCAGAGGACATTTTTGCATTCATCTTCAGATAGAGCAGGGGAGAGAGAGAGAGAGAGAGACAGAGAGAGAGAGAGAGAGAGAGAGAGAAACATCGATGCGAGAGAGACATATCGAGTGGCTACCACCTACATGACCCCAACCAGGGCCAGGGACAAACTGCAACCAAGTTACGTGCCCTTAGTGGGAACCGAACCCGGGACTCTCTGGTCCGTGGGCCGACGCTCTAACCATTGAGCAAACTGCCAGGGCTAAAGCAATACTCTTAAAGAAGCAAGGTGTCAGGTTGGAGGAGTTTTGTTTTGATTTACTTTAGAAACTTCCAGGAAAGTGAAAGCCACCACCTTGCAGGTTCTCTAGGAAACCAGCAGCCCGGACCACACAGGGCTTGGGAAGCACAGCCAGGGTGACAGGAAGCCCACACTGACGCTGACTCAGTTAGCGAGGGGCCATGTGCGGCCTCTGTCGGTTACCTGGGAAGCTGCTGATGGGGCGTGGCCTCCAGGCAATCTGCACCCCCTGGAAGCCAAGGGGGCAGATGTTTGCATGTGCTCATGCCCAGGAGGCCCCTCGGTGAAGCCCACCTGGCACAGACGATCGCAGCAGCAGGCACTGGCCTGAGCTGTGTGCCCCGTATCTCGTACACGCAACAGCACAGAGGTGATACTGACAAAAAGCTCCTAGGGAGCCAAACAGGGTCAGACAAGGATCTCTGCAGGTCCCGGGCCTCCCGAGACCACCCACCAGAGCTCAGCACTTACCTGGAACGTTAGTACATTTGCTGAACCAAACAGAGTCTGCCTGGACCCACCAGACTGGCTTTAGGTCAAACCTCTGTAGTCTTGTTGGCTTATGTTCCCAAGGCCAAAGCTCTGAGAGTGACTTTCTCCCTGTCCTGTCTACTTTACATTCTACTCCCCTGTGTGTTTGGAGGGGAAGGTGTCTTCCCCATGGGACTGACACCTCGGGGGGCAAGCACAGGGCTATGCCATCTTTGCCTCCCCGGGGTGGGAGCATCATCCGTGCTTATCGAACGGCTCCATTAGACAGGCCTGGCAGCCACCTCAGCCCCGCCTTCCGCTTCCCACACCACCTGCCCAGCACACCTGTCAGCACCCGTGCCCCAGGCCTGGTCAATGTCAAGGGGAGGTAAATAGTAAGGGGCTCTATAGACAGCTGCAAATAAGTTGGTGGGTACAGAGACCACCCCCCAGAGTGAGTGCTCTGTGCTACTGGCTCTCAGGTAGATCCCAGGTGTCGCTTAAGCTCACCTGTGAAAGGGAATGGAACTAGCTGGCTTCAAAGAGCTGCTGCAGGGACAGCCCCGGTTTATCTCAGGACAAAGCAGGCAGGGAGGGAGGCAGCCTGCACTCTGCCCTGCCCCTCACTCCTGGCACCCGTGGACACGGCCTCTCCAGGCCTCCCCACGATGAAGTGACTCGGCCGGACTAGGCCAGTGACTTAGACATGTGTAAGAACATGAACTTTTCGATGCCCTGACAAAAGCTATGGCCCCTTAGCCCAGAAGATAATGTCTTCAGACAACGTGAGCGTCACAGACCCCCTGGAGCCTGTCTCCAAGCCTCTTGGATGTTCACGGTCCTTGGTTATGAATCCCTGGCCTTTCACTTAAAAAAACAAACAAAAACTTTCATACTCTGCAAGTGTAAGCTGAAAATTCTTCTAAATCTACTCTAACCCCTATAACCTGCTTGGCAAACAGTCTATAAATCAGTGGCATTTGAGGGCTCAGGAATGACAAACAATTCCAGATCTCCTTTTTACAGTCATTTCAAACACCCCTCTGACCTGGGCCGGGCAGGCCGGGCTCGGCCGGCGCCGCTGTCCACCGGCGGGTGTTGGACACAAACGATGCACTGGAGACGAAATGCTTGGCGGGCCCCGTGTAGTCCACAATCTCGTACTGACCAGGGCCTGGGACAGGTGGCTTCGGGGGCAGAGGCAAAAGATGGGCGGGGAATTTCAGGATGGGGTTTCTCCTTTAGAAAAGACAACATGGAAAGATGCCATTAAAGCAGTCGATTGGGGAAATGGTAGTTTTCAGATGTAGCCGAGACCCGCCCAGCACCACACCATCTGCAAGTGGACTTGACATGGCACCAGGAGACCAGTTTCTTCCCCTGGCTCCACTGCTAGTGAACTGGGGGCCCAGGGCCTGTTTTCTCATCTGCACCATGGTGTTCATAATAGAACCTACCTTGCAGGCCTGTGGTCAGGGGTCAATGAGATGGTGCATGAAACATGGCACAGCCCCGCACCAAGTGAGAGCTCAGGACACAGGGCTGCTGTACTGCTGTTACCGAGCTAATAGGAATGGCAGGCAGCACTGAGCTCATGGTCAGCTCTGCTCGGCTGGTAGAGCCTGGCTGGAGCTCTGTGTAAAGAACCGAGGGCTCACATGGGCTATGGGGAGAGCACTGGCGACCTACTTGTGATGTTTGCCATGGCCAGAGGAAGAAAACAGGCGTCCCAAATGCCAGGGGTTTGCTATCCCAAGACCAGTAGATCTCTAGAGGCCATTCCAGCATTAACAGTCCAGAATCTCACCAAATATCTTCCTGTCAAAGCGAGACGTGGGAGGAGAAAAATGCTGGGTTGGAAATGAAGGGACCTCTGCATAACACTCACCACTTCCATTGCAATGGTCTGTTTCCGGGCTGTCTCCCCTCCTTTAGGAAAGGGAGTCTTTCGTGTCTTGTATTGAGAGAATAAATGAAAGAGAAGTAGAACCTGTACTTAAGCCCTAGCTCTGACACTAGTTCACTCTGTGCCTCAGTCTCCCCACCTGTAAATTGAGAGCAGTTGGGCATGATGACCTCTGAGGTCCCTTTTAATTGTGACATTCCATCAAGCTTTGGTTCAAAGAGGGTCCACTGGGTTGCCCAGGGAATTCTGGGATTGTTATGAGAATCATACTACTCTCCTGGCCATTCGATAGAAGGGCTGCCTGCTCCTGCCTCGTACCTGAGCTTCTTCCCAGGTCTCTCACCAGTGGGGAAGAGAAAGTCCTCAGAGCACTGGACAGCCATAGAAGACGCACCCAGCTTGAAACCAACCCATCGGAATAGAGGAACTAGGATTCTTGGCCACAGCAACTCTGCAGCCCTTTGGCCAGCACCTTCTGAAAAGAGGTGTTCTTAAACTCAGAGAGCAAGTGGGGACCTAGAGATGTCATATCCAACCTTCTTATTTGCTAAAGAAGTTGGTGCCCAGAGAAAGCAAATCACCCCAAGTGCAGAGCACATTAGTGGTAACGCCAGCACCATAACCAAGTCTCGTATGCCTGACAGTTTGGCGAAGGCATCGTGGCAGAGGGGTTTCTGAGCTCTGGAGTCGCACAGACCTGAGTCTGAATTCTCATCGTGCCACTCACTGGCTGTGAGACCTCAGACAAGTCCCCTGCCCTGTGCCCCTGCAGCAGGCGCAATGCCACCCACTCCTACACAGGAGCTGATGAACGGAGAACAGGTCCGCCAGGCCCCTACATGGCGCCATCACAGAGTAAGCACTCAGGGAAAGCAGTCGTTGTCACTCGTGGTCCCTGTAGCACCTCTGCCCGCCGCTTGGTCTCAGGGGAGCAAGGAGCCTCAGGAAGAGCCACCCAGAGGGAGGGCACTCCACCGCCAGGTCGCCGAGAGCCACAGTGGGCCTTCCTGAGGCTCAGACAGCTGGCTTTGCTGCTTATATTTAGAGCAAAGGTGCCCACAGGGAGAAACACTGCTCCCTTTTCCCTCCAGCTGGCAGGGAAGAACTGGTCACACTGTGTGATCAACCACCTCTCCCCTTATAAACAAAAGCTGGCTGCTCCTTGTTCTGGCTTGGGTCACCCTTCAAAGAACTCCCAGGTGACTGGCATCATTGAGACAATGACCTCACAACAGTTGGCTCATTTCAGACCAGGAGAAACAGGCTTTATTCCTGGTCTGAAATGAGCCAACTGTTGTATGAGGTCATCGCATGTCTGGGTCACCCCCAAGCCCGGTTCTTTGAGAAGACCAGCAGTTGTCTGCTCTTCCAACCAGGGACAGCCTGCAGGAGGCCGAGCGGGCTGGGGAAAACGAGTGAGAGGTCCCTTCCCTCCACTCCGCCCACGTGCCAGGAGTGGCTGTGCACTGCCAGCTCAGTCTCAGGGACTACAGGGCGTCAGCCGTGTGTGAGGCTCTGCTGCAGGCACTCGGGGGGCCAGACTCTTCTGTGCTGAGACACAGGCCCTGAATACTCCCGAGGGCTCGACAGGCCACTTCCAGTGACACTCATGCTGTGACAACTGAAGGCAGTACAGTGTTGCACTCAGACAGATGATCCCAGTCACTTCCTGTGTGTCCTTAGAAGTTTCTTCACCTCCCCTTGCCTGTTTCTTCTTCTGTAAAATGATGGATAGCAATACCTGCCACCCAGAGTTGTTATGAAAAGTAACTAGTGCTTTACTTGTATTTTTTTTAAAAAGTATGAAATGTTAGACTAGAGATTAAAACTACACTGAGAGTGCAGAGAGGGGGGTGGGGCTAATTCCAACGGAGCGAATTCAGAAATCTAGAAGAGATGGCATTTGTCCTGAAAGGCACGCAAGAATTCTTCAAGTAGAAAAGGGGGGGCAAGGGGCATTTCCAGCAGAGGAAACAGTGGGGGTGAGCGGGCCTGCAGCCCCACATGACAGGAACTGGGGCACAAGGAGACAAAAGGCGAGTGAGCCACCTTGACTGCCTTCAAACCTCAGTCCACCCGTGATTTCCGGGTTGTTTGCTTATTCCTGACCATGTGCCCTCACAGACCCTGATGAAAAGAGAAAGGAAAAGCTTCAGTTTATGGGCCTCAATCCCGCCTAAGCTCCTATGCCCCCTACTCCCATGTTACCTTCCGGAAACACCCCACACCATTGTCCAGAAACTCCTCACCTTTCCCATGCTGCTCCTTCCGCCAGGAGCACCTACTTCCCCGAAAACCCTGGTTCACTCTTCACTTCTCTCCTCCTGCACGGAAACTCCTGCAGCCGCAGGCCTCCTTCCTTGCCCCACCTCCCTTCCTGGAGGAGCACAGGTTCCGAGTCTGATGGACCTGAATGCACGCCCTGCTCCGGCACCTGTAAAGTCTGCCTACAGTACCGCTGGGGGCACAGTGCTAGACGCCGTCCAGAAGCTGGCCCCTCCGTCATTCTCGCCATTCTCTTCTCTGCACAGAACATGCTGCATTTTCTATGCTGCTCCCTCGTCTAGCTCTTTGGAGGGGGGGGGGTGTTTGACTCATCTTTGAGGCCCCATCCCTATTTCCAGGACATTTACTGTAAGGTAGAGAAAACCAGAGGGGAAGGAGCAAGTGAGGGAGCCCAGCTATCTGAGCCCCCTCGCACAGTTGTATCATCGTCCAGGGCTGCTCCCCCCGTGTCGAGGTGGGGCTGGGCAAATCGCAAAGGTCAGGCTGGATCAAACCCAGGGCAGCCCTTGGTGCTTTGTGACCGAGGCTTTTATGAGCCTCATTGCTCAGTTATAAAAGCCAACCTGGTCCTGCCCCGTAGAAAGAAAACATCTATCAAAGGCTCTGAGTTGGCCACAGCTGGATTAAGTGTGTTTGCGGCTCCCAATGTGAGCTGTTTGCAGAGGCCTCAGCAGGTCACAGGGGAAGGCATCGGAGACCCTCCCAGGCACAGATTCACTCTGCCTCAGGGATTCCCAGGGTCTAGAGGGATAAAGGGGCAATTTTTTCTCATCATTAAAGGGCAGCCAATGCCTCTGGGGCGGAATGCAGTATCTGTTTAACAGGGTGGCAGGTGACAGATTACAGTGTTGGGGAAGAAGCACCCCATAGCTAATTGAAAATCCCAGGGGAACTTTAGGTGGGTCCCTCGTAATTACCCAAATTGAAGCGGGGCCAACGGGCTTGATTCTTCGGCCCCGGCTGTGACAGGACGGCGTGTCGGTGCAAAACCAGTGGCTTAGAACTCCAGGAAGTAGCTCAAGGGTTAGAAAGATGTCAGTGGGTTTCCACCTCCTTGCCGGCCAGCGTGAGTTGGAAGGCAGCAGCTAGAAGGAACTGTTTTGATCTCCAAAGCCCTTATTCCGACTCACCCTGATTGACTGAGTCACCGCTGTGACGAGTGCTCAGGCCTGAAGACGCGGGGCCTTGGCCGGCACTTCTCTTCGCTTCTAAAGCCCCTGGAAGCTGATTAATCCTCTCAGCTTTTGAGTCAGCACAGTGGCCATAGCAAAGCGACACCCTGTCCGTGTTCTTCAACTAAGGAACCCAGAAACGGCAGCGCTAACAGCCTGCCAGCCCCTGGCACAGCATCTGCCCTGCGGGCCCCTCAGGAAACACCAGTCGGGGGTAGAGGACTGGCTTCAAGTGCAGCAAAAGCTTACCGTGCACCTGGCTGGTGAGCTGTGTAGGTTACCTCACCAGGCTCTTGCAAGCACCTTACGAAGCGTTTGTTCCCATTCCCAGAGGATGTCTTTGAATTTCCTGGGAGTTCAGTGACCCACTCCCATCCCTCCTCACCCCCAGTCTCAGGGCTGGTGAGTGGGGAAGGCAGGAGGTTGGGGGAGGGGTGACTTCCATCCCATGCTAAGCCCTCTGCCACATAGCCTCCCCAGGAGACATGACAAATTCAGGCCTCCTGCTGGCCACCTGAGTACCTTGCCAACCTCTCATCACTCTGGGCTTCATTTCTGTTGGTCCGTAACATGGGACTAACAATTCCAGAGAGAATGAACATCGCCCTGGTTCTTCCTACATCCTGAAGAAAGCGGAACCAAAATATCATTTTGCAAGCTGAAACCCTACACCAAAACGGGGAGCCAAGCACTTCCAACCCAAGATACACTGTCATGTGCATGTTCAGTGTGTGAGAGCCAACTGTACAGACCTTCTCAGGGGCCTGACAATCCCAGCACATGGGCTCCCAGGCCCTCCTGTCCCTCTTCTCTCCAGGGACACAGAAGAGCCGACGAAACTCTCATTTAAGAGCCTGAAGTTGGGCATCACCTCAATACTACAATAGTCAGCCGTATCTTTTCTTTATATTATATCATTTCTGCATCATGCAACATACATGGATGGATGCTTTTTTTTAAATAACCCAAAGCACACTTCAGTTTTATCTTCTTGTTTTCCAATGAAATCAGATTTCTCAGCTCCATCCTCTCCATGTTGATTTTATTTTTTTATTATTATTTTTTCTTTTTTATCTTTATTGTTGAAGGTATTACAGATGTTCCTCATTTTTCCCCCCCATTGACCCCCTCCTCCCCACTCCCGCCCCCCTCCTGCCTTTTCCCACACTGTTGTCTGTGTCCATTGGTTATACATATAAGTTCTTTAGTTTATTTCTCCCCACTCCCCAACCCCCTTCTCTTTGAGGTTTGTCAGTCTAGCAACCAATGTGTTCTTCTTAATCCCTTCACCTTTTTCACTCATTCACCCAACCCCCTCCCGTCTGGCAACCAACAAAATGTTCTCTGTATCTTTGAGAATGTTTCTGTTCGGCTTGTTCATTTTGTTTGTAGATTCAATTGTCAATAGATATGTATTCATTGCCATTTTGTTTGTTCATATTTTTTATCTTTTTCTTCAAGAAGACCCTTCAACATTTCACATAATAATGGTTTGGTGGTGATGAACTCCTTTAGCTTTTCCTTGTCTAGGAAACTCTTTATATGGCCATCGATTCTAAATGACAGCTTTGCAGGATAGCGTAATCTTGGTTGTAGGTTCTTGCTTTTCATCACTCTGAATATTTCTTGCCACTCCCTTCTGGCCTGCAAAGTTTCTTTTGAGAAATCAGCTGATAGTCTTATGGGAACTCCCTTGTAGGTAACTAACTGCTTTTCTCTTGCTGCTTTTAAGATTCTCTCTTTGTCTTGAACCTTTTGAATTTTGATGATGATGTGTCTTGGTGTGGGCCTCTTGGGGTTCATCTTGTTTGGGACTCTCTGTGCTTCCTGGACTTTTATGTCTGTTTCCTTCACCAAGTTAGGGAAGTTTTCTGTCATTGTTGTTTCAAATAGGTTTTCAATTAATTTTTTTTTTATCCTCACCCAAGGACATTTTTTGTTCAGATAGAGTGGGAGGGAGAGAGAGGAAGAGAGAAACATCAACGTGAAAGGGACACATCAAGTGGCTGCCACCCACACGACCAACCAGGGCCGGGGACAAACAGCAACCGAGGTATGTGCCCTTAGCGGGAACCGAACCCAGGTTTCTCTGGACCACAGGCCGACGCTCTAACTGCTAAGCCAAACCGGCCAGGGTGGTTTTCAATTTCTTGTTCTCACTTTTCTCCTTCTGGCACCCCCAAGATGCGAATGTTGGCACGCTTGAAGTTGTCCCAGAGGCTCCTTACACTATCCTCATTTTTTGTATTCTTTTTTCTTTTTGCTGTTCTGATTGGGTGTTCTCTGCTTCCTTATATTCCAAATCGATGTTTGCTTCTTGGCTTTACCTACTATACTATTTAATCTGTGTAAATTATTCTTTATTTCAGTTAGTGCCTCCTTCATTTCTGACTGTGCATCCTTTCAATTTTAAAATATATATATTTTTGGACTTCCTGTATGGGTCCAGGCTGGCTCTGTGTTCACTGCTCCGTGTGCTCTCCTGAGTCACATGGTGAGCAAACCTGGGGTCATGGACTGTCAGAAATGAAAAGACGGCCCCTCTTTTCGCACAGAGATATGAAGGCCCTGGGAGGTGCCGAGAGTGCCTCAGACCACAGAGCCAGTTAACACAAATGTTCTGCCACAGAGGCTGAGACACCATCTACTCACCAAGGTAAACCCAAATTTAAGAGACACTGGGCTTAACAGGATCCTTTACTACAGGCCTTCTCAGAGCCTTTAATAAGCCCATGCTTACTATGATGCTCCCAGGGTAGAGGTTTATAAGCAATGTTTCCAAGGCTTATTAACCAAGGATCCATTATTCACAAAGCACCACAGAGAGCCAGTGAGCCCCAGACACCCCCAGACATGCCCACACCATCGCACTGCCCAGCTGGAAAGACTGCCCATGGGGCCGTGTGGCCACACCGTCCAGCGCTGTGCTGCGTGCTCCCCTGCCTTGCTCCCAGGTGAGCCTGGCGGAAGGTGTGCATGTGATCTGTTCACCTGAGCAGCTCCACAGCCTCCAGCACAGAACCAGAAACCTCCAGAGCCCGTTGACTGACAGATGCAGATGCCATTTAATGAGAATATTTCAAACCATTCATCCAAACTTAAGCAAAGCCAAGTGACACTTCTCTGGGGCGAGCACTTACACACTGAGCATTCTCCATGCTCCGTTCACCATTTCCTGACGAAGCAACCAGATACAGGCTGGGGGCTTGAGCTGCCATGCCAAACAGCAGCTGCTTCCTGTACCCTAATATGCCTGCAGGGCATGGAATAAAGCAGCTATACTCGCAACAGCTATTTTCAAGCACTTTCTCACCGAATCCTTACAAAAACCCTATGAGATAAGGTTCTTATTTCCACCTAATAACGTGGAAACTGAGGCTCAGAGAGGAGACGTGTCTGCAAGGGGCAGTCAGGACTCACACTCAGGTCTGCGGACTCCGAAGCCCCTCTTACCCACTGGTCGCTGGCAGCAGGGCAGCTGCTGTGCAGTGCTGCCCTAAGCCAACCCAGAGGCAGGAAGTCCCTGATGTTTGGAGAGAGCCTGCTCCTGAGACTTTCCTGCCTAGTCCTGAGCCCGGAGCCTGTGAAGAAACAACGTGCACAACCCAGGAACCAAAGGGCAGCAGAGGCTTACCCTGGGCACTGCATCTAGGGTCGGAACCCCTTCCCTGGACCCTCGGCTGCACCCTCATGTCGTGCTCCCCTCCCTCACACCCCTCTCCGTGCTTGGCCTGATGGTTAGAGTGTGCCAATGTTGCCAGCCGCCCTGGGGTGCCCAGACTTCTGACCTACTGTGGCTGGGAGCCCAGTCACCTGCTCTGAGGTGCCCAGGTGCCTACATGCTCAGTCCCAGCCCTCTGGTCAGCCCTCCCTGCCTGGAGAAGACTACCAGGGGTGAGGTCTGAGATGGTACTGACCTTAACTAAAGTTAGTTTCAAAAGTTCTAGAACCATCTGAGGAATAAACAAGCCCTGTGAGTTTTTTAGCCTCTTAGGTGAAAGTAACATTCAGTGTGCCTGTCTTCACTTTTGAAATCTGTGTTAATATTAAGTCACCATTAGCACTTGCTATGCACAAGCCAAATCCATATTTTAAAATCTGCAAACAGCACTGTGAGGTGTGAACTACCCCACTTTACAGGTGAAGGTGAGCGAGGTGCCCACGGTCACAGAGCTGAAGTGTCAGTCCTGACAACTTCAGGTCTAGGCCTGTAACCTATCAGTAAAACCAGGAGAGTGTCACTGCTTCTGTCTGTCCTGCCTCCCCAGCGGAGGTTTTCTGTTATAAAACAGAATAAAGTCGGCACCAGGAGAGCCCCGCGCCACGGGGGGTGTGGAAAGATGCGGCCAGTCCTGAGCCCGATCCCGGTGGCGCCTCAGGTTTGCTGTGTGGACTGGGGCAAACCTCTGCTCACTGAAGCCCACCTTCCTCCTCCGGGAAGAGTGAGTCTTACAACAGGGTTATTTGATAACTGAATAAGATGTTAAGTTCCTGGTACAAAGTAGTTGTTCAATAAAGATTCTGCATTCCATACATATTTACTGAGCACCTACTCTGTGTCAACAAGGGTCCTGGGGAGTGACCTGGCACAGTGTCCTGACAAGCAGTGACCCCCCCTTCCTTTTCTACCCATGTTGGGGGCCTTCCCAGAACCACCTTTCAAAAGAAAGATCAGAATAATCAGGACTCACGGGATAAGAGGCTTTTTCGGAATTATGGTGTGATCATTTGGGTTGTAATGACCAGGTCCCGGGACTGTTGATGTCAGTTTTAATCCACGGCCAGTTTTTGATTTAAAACAGGACATTAATATCTTTGGCGACTGCTTCACAAGGGATTCGTTGATATTATATTGCCCTAAACAAAAAGAAAGTTCAAAACAATCAGGCACTCTTCTCAAATAAATAAAAAGCCATACCTTACACCTAAGAACACATTTAATGACTGAGAGGCAATATCACTCCAAGATGGTCAAGCGGAAGGACTACCTGAAACAGCTAAAAACAATACTCACCATTGAGAGGACACGCCCCCCAAGCATCACTCTCAGCTCACTGGGTCCTCCCAGCAGCCCAGCACAATGGGCGTTACCACCTCCACTCTAAACACAAGGAATCTGAGACTTGGAGACATTAAATAGTTTGCTCCGTGACATTCATCTAACCAGGGACTAAGCTCAGCTTCCTCCTCTATAAAGTAAGAAGAATTCTTCCAACAACAGGATGGTTATAATAGTTGAATGCCATTTTAGGTTACTGGCACATAGTAGTTGTTTCATAACTATTTTGCAATCAACAAATATTTGTTAAACATCTACCACGTGGGACCAGGGCCACCTGTCTCCAAGCCCATGCTTTCCTCCATACCCTGTCTCAAGTAACTGGGAGAGAATAGAATTCATCTGACTGTGCACAAAGCATCAAGGAAGAGCAGCAGGGTCCGAGCTGGGGTGCAGAGAAGCAGTCTCACCCTAAGTGGTCGGTAGCCCTGTCGATGGTGCAGGCGTTTGGGAGTACAAGCAGCAAAAGCCTTGAGGATGTCTGCACACCCAGGCTTCCCATTACTCACAAACTAAGGAAATTATCCAACATACCAGAAAAATTCGAAGTATAAAGATGTACATCCCAGCACCACTACAGTGTGAGAAAGTGTAGCCTAAAAGTCTGCAGCCCTGCAGATGACAAATCAGAAGACCATATGGCCACATGGTCACGCTTCTGAAAATAAAGGTGAGTGAACAAGTAAAGCCTGAAAGTCTCTCTGTTCTACGATGACATTTAGGTACAAATGGATATGTCTGAATGTAAATAGGTGGGAGCCCAGGAAAGTGGAAGTAATTATGTTAGTGACGGCCTTCCGGGTGGGAAAAATATTCCAAATTTTCTAAACATTGTAAAGTTGATATTGTTTTAAATAAAAAGTACTTTTCCATTGCAAAAGTACTGAAAAGAACATTATTACTTGACTAGTGATGCCCAGTGATGACAGGGGCAAGGGCAGGGGCAGGGGTAGGGACAGGGGCAAGGACAGGGGCAGGGGCAGGGACAGGGGCAGGGGCAGGGGTAGGGACAGGGGCAGGGGCAGGGGCTGGGGTAGGGACAGGGTTAGGGGCAGTGGCAGGGGTAGGGGTAGGGACAGGGGTAGGGACAGGGGCAGGGGCAGGGGCAGGGACAGGGGCAGGGGTAGGGGTAGGGACAGGGACAGGGGCAGGGACAAGGGCAGGGGCAGGAGTAGGGGCAGGGGCAGGGGTAGGGACAGGGGCAGGGGCAGGGGTAGGGACAGGGGCAGGGGCAAGGGCAGGGACAGGGGCAGGGGCAGGAGTAGGGACAGGGGCAGGGGCAGGGGCAGGGACAAGGGCAGGGGCAGGGGTAGGGACAGGGGCAGGGGCAGGGACAAGGGCAGGGGCAGGGGTAGGGACAGGGGCAGGGGCAGGGACAAGGGCAGGGGCAGGGGCAGGGGTAGGGACAGGGGCAGGGGCAGGGGCAGGGGTAGGGATAGGGACAGGGGCAGGGGCAGGGACAAGGGCAGGGGCAGGGACAAGGGTAGGGACAGGGGCAGGGGCAGGGGTAGGGATAGGGACAGGGGCAGGGGCAGGGACAAGGGCAGGGGCAGGGGCAGGGGTAGGGACAGGGGCAGGGGCAGGGGCAGGGGTAGGGGTAGGGACAGGGGCAGGGGCAGGGGTAGGGGCAGGGGCAGGGGCAAGGACAGGGGCAGGGACAGGGGCAGGGGCAGGGGCAGGGACAAGGGCAGGGGCAGGGGTAGGGGCAGGGGCAGGGGCAGGGGCAGGGGCAGGGGCAAGGACAGGGGCAGGGGCAGGGGCAGGGGCAAGGACAGGGGCAGGGGCAGGGGCAAGGACAGGAGCAGGGGCAAGGACAGGGGCAGGGGCAGGGGTAGGGACAGGGGCAAGGACAGGGGTAGGGGTAGGGACAGGGGCAGGGGCAAGGGGAGGGACAGGGGCAGGGGCAGGGGCAGGGACAGGGGCAGGGGCAGGGGTAGGGGCAGGGGCAGGGGCAAGGACAGGGGCAGGGCTAGGGACAGGGGCAGGGGCAGTGGCAGGGGTAGGGGCAGGGGCAGGGGCAGGGACAAGGGCAGGGGCAAGGACAGGGGCAGGGGCAGGGGCAGGGGCAAGGACAGGGGCAGGGCTAGGGACAGGGGCAGGGGCAGTGGCAGGGGCAGGGGCAGGGGTAGGGACAGGGGCAGGGGTAGGGACAGGGGCAGGGGCAGGGGCAGGGACAGGGGCAGGGGCAGGGGCAGGGGTAGGGACAGGGGCAGGGGCAGGGACAGGGGCAGGGGCAGGGGCAGGGGTAGGGACAGGGGCAGGGACAGGGGCAGGGACAAGGGCAGGGGCAGGGGTAGGGACAGGGGCAGGGGCAGGGGCAGGGACAAGGGCAGGGGCAGGGGCAGGGGTAGGGACAGGGGCAGGGGCAGGGGCAGGGGTAGGGATAGGGACAGGGGCAGGGGCAGGGACAAGGGCAGGGGCAGGGACAAGGGTAGGGACAGGGGCAGGGGCAGGGGCAGGGGTAGGGATAGGGACAGGGGCAGGGGCAGGGACAAGGGCAGGGGCAGGGGCAGGGGTAGGGACAGGGGCAGGGGCAGGGGCAGGGGTAGGGGTAGGGACAGGGGCAGGGGCAGGGGTAGGGGCAGGGGCAGGGGCAGGGGCAAGGACAGGGGCAGGGACAGGGGCAGGGGCAAGGACAGGGGCAGGGGCAGGGGCAGGGGCAGGGGCAAGGACAGGGGCAGGGGCAGGGGCAGGGGTAGGGACAGGGGCAAGGACAGGGGTAGGGGTAGGGACAGGGGCAGGGGCAGGGGTAGGGGCAGGGGTAGGGGCAGGGGCAGGGGCAGGGGCAAGGACAGGGGCAGGGGCAGGGGCAGGGGCAGGGGCAAGGACAGGGGCAGGGGCAAGGACAGGGGCAGGGGCAGGGGCAGGGGTAGGGACAGGGGCAAGGACAGGGGTAGGGGTAGGGACAGGGGCAGGGGCAGGGGGAGGGACAGGGGCAGGGGCAGGGGCAGGGACAAGGGCAGGGGCAGGGGTAGGGGCAGGGGCAAGGACAGGGGCAGGGGCAGGGGCAAGGACAGGGGCAGGGCTAGGGACAGGGGCAGGGGCAGTGGCAGGGGTAGGGGCAGGGGCAGGGGCAGGGACAAGGGCAGGGGCAAGGACAGGGGCAGGGGCAGGGGCAGGGGCAAGGACAGGGGCAGGGCTAGGGACAGGGGCAGGGGCAGTGGCAGGGGCAGGGGCAGGGGTAGGGACAGGGGCAGGGGTAGGGACAGGGGCAGGGGCAGGGGCAGGGGCAGGGACAGGGGCAGGGGCAGGGGTAGGGACAGGGGCAGGGGCAGGGGTAGGGGCAGGGGCAGGGGCAGGGGTAGGGACAGGGGCAGGGGCAGGGGCAAGGACAGGGGCAGGGCTAGGGACAGGGGCAGGGGCAGTGGCAGGGGCAGGGGCAAGGGGGGAATGGGGCCTCATAGCAGGACAAATGAACCCTGTGTTGAAGGGCAATTCGATCACAAATAGCAAAAACCTTAAATATTTTACATACCTTTTGACTTAGCAAATTCACTTGAAGCAATTTATATAAAAAAATAATCTTGACTGTACACAGGCTGTGAACTACAAGGATATTTGCTACCACTGTATTTATATCAGTGATCAGTTTAAAACAACCTAAATTTCCAATAAAAGGGCGTTTGTTCCTTAACTTATGGCACCACCGTACAATGAACTGCAATATATCTATTTAAAAAATGATGTTCTGCCCTGGCCGGTTTGGCTTAGCGGTTAGAGCATCGGCCTGCGGTCCACAGAGACCCGTGTTCGGTTCCCGCTAAGGGCATGTACCCCGGTTGCAGTTTGTCTCCGGCCCTGGTTGGTTGTGCGGGTGGCGACCACTCGATGTGTCCCTTTCACATCGATGTTTCTCTCTCTCTCTGTTCCTCTCTCTCCCTCCACTCTATCTGAACAAAGAATGGAAAAATGTCCTCGGGTGAGGATGATAAAAAAAAAAAATGATCTTCTGGGAGGATTTTTAATAACCTGAAAAGATGTTCCCAGCACATAATTAAATTTTTTTAAAAAGGCAGATGTCCAGGTAGCAGCACTTATAATATATATCTCTCATCATCTTTCTGTTTCTTTTCTCTCTCATTTACCGCCACCAAGAAAGGTTACAGCAATGCTTGATTACAAAATGCTGAAAAGCGGAAGTAAAGAGAAAAGGCACTGGCGTGCCTGTGGCCCAGCGAGGCCCAGGGTGACACTGGTGCCGTGTGTAGCTGGACTCTGCTCCCAGGGAACTCGCTCCAGTGGCCCACGTTTTCTGAGTGACACTGTGCACAGGCACTTCCCCGGCTCCAATGACCTTTTTTTTTTTTTTTTTTAAGGAAAAATTGAGGGGGCCATTGGTGATGTGTTGGTACACTTAAACTTTAGAAAATCCAGCCAGCAAATGGGTGAAAGTGAGCGTCTGCCCAGCGCTGAAGGCAGGCCGGCCAGGCCCTCAGTCCGAGGCACGAGGGGCAGAGCAGCAGGACACAGCTGGGACGCCAGTCACAGCTCCGCATCGGTTTTCCCCCACAGAGGGGGAAGTGGGAACCTCATTCGAGAGGTCAGAGCAGATTGCTTCTGGCAGGGGGGCAGGTTCCTGGCAAGTGGTGGTGGGGGAGGTGTCTGAGGTCCCAGGCAGGCATCAAGCCCAATAGGCCTGGATTCAAATTTGACGGGACCCTGCACTAGCCACCTGCTTTCTAAGCATCATTTTCACCTGTAAAATGGGCATAAAGTAATAATAGTAGCTCACACCTCTGAGTACACGATCATGTGCTTGGCGAACGCTCTGTGGGGTTTGAGAGCATTGGGTAGTGAGCAGAAAGCACACTGTAGAAACTTAACAGACCCTTCCTGCTCTCTGTGATAGGGGCTGGGGCCCCTCCCACCCTTCCAAGGAACTGGGCACACGTGGCCTGCAGCGAGGGAGCCCGCATCCCAGAGCTCCCTGGTGCGGCCTCTGGCCAAACCCCAGGGATGCCAGCTTTGTTCTCCTGTATAAACAAACAAGGTGGGGCCGGGCCCACAGATGATGCAAGGCAGGGAGCTTTAGCCCTGGCTTAGCCTCCTAATTAGGGCTGATTTTGCTATTCAGCTTCAGACTAATCTCAACTTTAATCTGGATTTGCTGAAATCTGACATGCACTGCAGTTTTATCCACACCCCCCGCAAGGGGCGTGATCCTGGAGGCAAACCCTGCTGCTGCTCTGGGCTCTGCTCTGGCTCCCCTGGGGGTCTTCAGTTGCCATTAGGGAAGGTCTGATAGAACAAGTGCTCCTGGAGCACAGACCACCCTGGAAACTTTCCCTGGAGCTCGGAGGTGGGGCGGAGGTCTGAGGCACAGGAGGGCACAGCCCAGCGGGAAACACTTGCAGGCCAGCCCCGTGTGCTCCTGAATCCTGGTGATTTGGGAAGTCAGGGTGGAATACAGGGCAGAGTCTCCTCAGTCAGACACTGCCAGGCACACCTCTGCCCTGCGACGCTGGGCACACCACTCCAGCTCTCAGAGCCTCCATCTCCTCTCCTGAAACACAGGACTGGGAGTGTGGACCTGTGCGCACAGACGTGTGCGGACTGCATGGGCAATACCGGGCGGGGGCGGGCACTCAGTCGTGGAGCTGCTTGCCATCGTTGACCAGATGATGGGGTGGCCCCGAGGCGGAGGGGAGGAAGACTGCTGCTGAGAGTCGGGGCCCTGCGCAGGTGCCCCCGCCGGCCCAGGCCGCCGGGGATGGGGACGTGCACACTGCTGAGGTGAGAAGCCACTTCCCCACCTGGCTACTCACAGCACGTGTGCCCTGTCATAACAGGGGAGGCCACCAAGGCTGCTTTGGGGACATTTCCAGGGCCAGCTATCCTTCCCTGAAGGGGGACAGCTGGTCTTTCCTCACCCTTCTCCTCTTCATTCAACACCGGCCTCCACCCCCACCTCCCCAAAGCCTCACTCCTTCCAGAGATTCCTGCTGAAGGAATGGGGGCCCTCAGACCAGATCTGGTCATGAACCCTTAGGTCAAGGCCAGTGCAAGGCAGCTGCTTACCTGGGGCAGGTCCTTTTTCGGTGGTAGTGAAAAATCCTCTCTGGGTTTTGGACACAAACCCGGCTCGGGCACTGACGTTGTTTCTCTCCTTGCAGTAAGAGACGGAGGCCTGGGGAGAGAAACTCAGCGCGCTGTGCCCCGTGTCTTCCCTTTCTTTGTCTTTGTCATCGTGCCTGGATGAGTGTCACATTTGGGTTCAAAATCAAATTAAACTTGACCGTCTCAGAAAATGAACTGACATGAGCGGAAAAGCTCACACCAACGGTGCCTTCGCCAGCACCCCAGGTGGAGCTGTCTAGGAGTTTGGGATCACCAGCCAGTGTCTGGCACAAAGGACGGTGTCTGAGGGGACAGCCTGCAGACCCAGCTTCTAGGCTCACTTGTGCCACCCACAGGGCAGGCGACCCGCTCAGGTGGTTTAGTTTCTCATCTGTAAGACGCTCGGACAGTCCCTGCTCTACGTGACTGAGTGCTGTTGAGGCTGGGGGTGGGGGGCAGGAGGTCAATGAAAATCATCTAGAGCGAAGTCTTTTTTAAAAACCATGTAACACTACACATGTACATTATTTTCATTATTTTTCCTGTGATTTTTATTCTTTTTTGGAACACTTAGTCCTACACATCTCCGCCTGATTCCTTACTGCTCAAACAGTCCTTCTAGAAATGCAGGCTTTGTGCCATACAAGGAAAACGTGTACTTCAGGATTACAATCAGATTTGTAAGCACTGTCTCATCTTCATTTTTCTGGACTAACCAGACATTAAGAATTTTGGTCTATCCACACAATATACATTTGAGAGTGTCCAGTGTGTTCAGAACTCTGAATATAGCACACAAGGGGAAAAAAAGAATCCTGAGATCATTCTTATATTACATGTGAATTATACATATTTTAAATGCCAATTTGCAGTTGGTCTCCTGTATTCATTAGATAAAAAGATGTCATAAAAGTTGTACATGCGACGGCTGGGAATATTTACCGAATGAGTGAAAATATTTGCTGGGGCCAGGATGGTTTGATTTTCTGCGATACTCCTTTGTCAGAAAATTGTTTCTCAAGAAATGCAGATGGCATTCTGAGTTTGTGTTGACGAAGGTGGAGGAATTCAGCTTTTCCCAGGGTCCTAATGGCTAGGCTGCCTGCCGAGACGGCAAACAAAAAGATCAGATGGAACAGGCTAATTACTGGACACGGGGAGAGGAGCCAGGTTGCCGGAGAGGAAGTAATAACACGGAACCAAGGAAAGGATTCGAATGGAGAAGTGGGGATCATGGTGTGAGCAAAGCCAAAGAAAGGCCTGGGCAGACCTCCGTGTAGCGTGGCTAACAGGATTAGCACATTTCTACTCTTCGCCAGTTGCCTCAACCATTGTTCTCCGGGTCTGAAAACAGCCACCTGTAGACAAAACACTACTGCGGCTTTATTCCTCACCCAGACAGGAAAGCAACTGAAAAAGATGGCATTTTTGTACGCGCCGAGTGTGTGTCACTGGAAGATTTCACCACCACACTAAGAAAACAGTCAGCTCCACGGGCAGGCTAAAAGAGAATGAAGCTGATTTATTGTATTGCATGAGGGGGTGGGGGAGCACAGGAATCCAAGATACAGTTTAGAAAATGCACATCAACAGTGGACAGCACAGTCCTGACACTGGAGGGAGGGACCGAGGGAGGAAGAGAATCAGAAAGAAACTGCACCCAGTTTCAATGGTGGTTTGCTTTGGGGAGCAGAATTTTAAGGGACTTCCACCTTCTAGTTCATGGGTTTCTATAATGCTTGAACATATTTTATGGTGAGCATGTATTATTTTCAGAGCTACATTAAAACAACAATGAATAAAAAACAAGCCCCTAAAACTGATCTACTGGCAGAAGGACAGAGCTCTGACTTGGGAAATGGTCTTTTCTAGATTAGTAACTACCGGGGCGTTATTCTACCAATCACCGGGAGTTACTCCTTTGACGTCAGCACTTTACTGCATGCTCACTGAACGCCAGGACCTGTGCAGGGTGAAGGAGCACACGGTGGGCTGGGAGGCAGATGCATGAAACACTACCTCTGTGAGGAATGCAGATGGTGCAGTGACCAAGGATCTTCATTACCACGTTCTTGGACCAGGCCTCGACCTCTTTCCTGTTAGCAGAACAGCTTCTTTTTTTTTTTTTATCCTCACCCAAGAACATTTTTCCATTTTTTGTTCAGATAGAGCAGAGTGAGAAGGAGAGAGAGGGAGAGAGGGGGGGGGGGAGAGAGAGAGAGAGAGACAGAGACAGAGAGAGAAACATCGACGTGAAAGGAACACATCGAGTGGCTGCCTCCCATAAGACCCAACCAGGCCGGGGACAAACTGCAACCGAGGTACATGCCCTTAGTGGGAACCGAACCCGGGTCTCTCTGGACCACAGGCCAGTGCTCTAACTGCTGAGCCAAACTGGCCAGGGCCAGAGCAGCCTCTTAACTGGTTTTCTAAAATCCACTCTTAGCCCACTCTGCAGTCCATATAGCTGCAAGAGGGAGCTTCTTTAAAAAGTACCTGGCTGGTTTGGCTCAGCGGTTAGAGCGTCGGCCAGCGGACCAGAGAATCCCGTGTTCGGTTCCTGCTAAGGGCACGTACCTCGGTTGCAGTTTGTCCCCGGCCCCAGTTGGAGTCATGTGGGTGGCGAACAGTCAATGTGTCTCTCTCACATCGATGTTTCTCTCTCTCTCTCTCCCACTCTAAGGATAAATGCAAGAAAAAAGTACATCAGATGGCATCACTCCATTCCTCTCATCCCCCTCACGAGCTTCAGTACACAGAGAACAAAATTCTAACTCCCAGGGTCTGCAGAGCCCTGAAACACTGGCCTCTGAGCCCCTGATCCCCCTCCTCCTAGCTAATGCTACCCTAACTACCGTCTTGTAGTTCCACATGGGCTAAGTTGTTTGCTGTCCCAGGACCTCGCTGTTCCCCGAACTCCAGCTCTCCTTCAATCTCTGGGTCTCAGCCTCAGAGCCCTCTCTGACCACACAGTGTAAAGTCTGTTACCACCCAGCCCACACATATTCTCTCTTTCTCGGGTCCACTGTTTTCCTCTCTCAAAGCTGGCCACAGTTTGTAAGTATCGTTTGTCTGTTTACTAGTTTCTGTCTTGAGCGCCCCACTGGAATCTCAGCTGGCAGGGCTGGAACATGATGACTGCTCACTCTCCAGCTTTCTACCTCAGCCACCTGCCTGTGTTCACTGATGTGCAAATGGTCCCTTCGAGCTGGGGAGCTCTGGGCAAGTACCTTTACCTCTCTGAGCGTCAGTTTCCTCTTCTGTAAATTGAGACTAAGATAGCCCACTTCATGGATTCTTGTGGATATTAAATAAGATGCATACCTGACTCTTAGAACAGCACATAGGCCATGAAAAGTGCTTCATTATCATCACTGTCATTATTTCGGGCTCTGATTACCCCAGGGGAAGACTGTCTAGAGTCATGCTGTCCAGGGCGTGGTAGCCACTGGCCACATGTGGCTACCGAGCCTGGAAACAGGGCAGGTCCAGATTAAGGCATGCTGCCACATGATGTCAGGTGGGCCCTGGACTCACCGGGTGGTCACTTGGTAAAACATATAAATGTCTAATCACTATGTTGTGCACTTGAAACTAATATAATATGTAGGTCAACTGTAATTAAAAGTAAATATTTTTTAAAAGATGTGTTGGATAAAATATACACTGGATTTGAAAGACTCAGTATGATGGAAATAATGTAAAACATCTAACAATTTTATATTGCTTAGATGTAATTTTTTTAATCTTCACCCAAGGACATTTTTGCATTTATCTTCAGATAGAGCGGGAGGGACAGAGGGGGGAAGAGAGAGAGAGAGAAACATTGACATGAAAGGGACACATCAGCTGGTTGCCACCCACACAACCCCAACCAGGGCCGGGGACAAACTGCAACCGAGGTACGTGCCCTTAGCAGGAACCAAACCTGGGACTCTCTGGTCTGCCAGCCAACGCTCTAATCGCTGAACCAAACTGGCCAAGGCTAGATGTAATATTTTTAATATACCAGGTTAAATAGAATACATTATTAAAATTAATTTCACCTGTTCCTTTTTACTTTTAAGTGTGGCTACCAGGAAAATGAAATGGCATACATAGTTCCCATTATATTCCTTTTGCACAGGGCTGGCCCAGCAGGCACACGTTATAATTGATCAGCTCAAACACAGAAAGTGGACAGGATCTTTGTAGTCAGAAAAGTAAATATTTATAATATTATAAAAGGAAAAGGAAATTAAAAATAAAGTATTTAAGACCAAAATATTTTGAAATATGGCATAACAATATTAATACCTTATGTATAACTCATGCCTTATGTATTTCAGAGTGCTTTCACATTCGTTGTCTCATTTGCTTCTTATAATAACCCTGTAGGGCAAGTATAATTAATTTCATTTTACAACTGAGGCTCAAGAGGTGACGTGTCTTCCCCAAAGATAGTCCCCCTCCAACCCCGTGAACCGCAGAATCCTTGTGTGCCAGGCGCTGTGCTGAGCGCTCACCATAGATTACCTCATTTAACATGTGCGTGAACACTATGAACTAGATATGTGTCCCCATTTTACAGATGAATAAACTGAGTCCTGAAAGGTTAAGAGACTTGCCCAAAGCCACATGGTTAGAAAGTGGCAGAGTCAAGATTTGAACTTGACTCTATTCCTTAACCATTAGTTACACTGTTCTGCCTCAGTGACTGTAAGGTGATCATAACTGGCAGAGCAGTGCTCTTAAAAGTCCCATTTTTCAGATATGGAAAGACAGAATTTTATTTTCCCTATAAGAACCTGAAAGTTAAATGAATCGCACCTGCAGGTAACGTGGTAAATAACATCTCATTGTTTGAGATGAGAACACCACCTGGGAAAGCTTACATTTTAGGACTGATCACAGTAAGCATTTCCCAGGGCAGTGGTCTTCCCACTGCTCCACACTGGCCTCCACGTTGCCCACATTTTTCTCTGTGTTCTTCAAATTCCCTGTAAGAGTCTTGCACAGCCTCATGTAGCCACTGGGTACCCAACAAATGCTAACTGGTTTACCAACTGCATTAAAATACTATTTCTCAAAGTGCCCCCCTTCCTTTCTTTCATTTTAGTAAACCATTCATTCAGTACATATTTAGTAAATATATGTAATGTTCTTACATTATAATGGTTTGGTGCAGGAGTTTCAAACTTGAGAACTTTTGCAAAGCTTGGCAACTGGAACGCCCTGGAACAGGAATTACTGAAGTCCTTCTTCGAAACAAAGCATGACGGAAGAGTATACGCGTTAGCTGCAGGATATTTACAAATGATGGTATCCAGTCGGGCACGCTGTGAGGAGAAAGCCAAAGGAGTCAGCACTGTCACATAATCTGTGGCTCCAAAGGACAGAGGTCAAAGAGATGGTACCCGAAAACAAGTGTAAGTGCATTTTATTTTATAAAAGGTGAAGCTCTGGCAGGGAACAATAATAAACTGACCTCGGGACTTGCTCTTGGAAAACACAAGTTCTGACCCATTTTAACTTCTGTAAATCCAAATTACTCATCTTATGTTTTGGGCTTGCATAAAGAATTCTGCCATAAATATATGTTCATTCAATCCTGTTTCAAGCCACTTACACTTGACTCACATTAGCTGTTGGATCATTTACATGATGGAAGCTTTAGACTTTCTTCTTCCAACCTAGGCTTTCTTTCTACTCAGAAGGAAACACCACATCTTATTTCTAAGGTTAAATAATCTGAACTGCCTAAATAACAAGGGTGCATCTGATGTCTTCTAGGTACAAGGCTCCATGGAGCTTGCTGTCCACCCACACCTCCTGTCCCCGACTAATTACTGATTGCATAAAACCCTGCAATATTTTTGCTCTTTCGTCTGAACCAATTCTACTTTTTCCAGGAAGCCATGATAAAACAATTTTTAGTTAAGAAACAAACAGAATCAATGTTTGCCAAATGAAAAGGGTCAAAAGCCACAGAAACTAGGAGATAATATCACTTTACCCTAGGATAGTATGGCAGGTATTAGAGTCTGATAAAACCAAATAGTTCTCATTATTTTATGGTTAAAGCTTGGGAACATTGCCCTGGGTTTCCTCCGCTTGATAGAGATCAATAACTACACAAACAGAAAACGGGGGAGGCTGTGGGAAGGCATCGGTGCCTCCCCCCAGCTCCTCATTCGTGCTTGGAGGCAATGGCTCTCAGCGCCTTCTTGCGGACCACCGCGCACGTGGTCTACAGACTGCCACAGTACAAGGGTGGCTGTGCCACCAGAAGCAGGAGTGTTCTTGTCCGGTCTCAGCTGCTCAGAATCTAAGCTGGGTTTGAGTCCCACCTCTGCCTTCTCCAAATTGTACAGATTCAATGATGTTCCCAGAAGCAAGGTCACCCCAGCCTTGAACTCCTTTGCCTTTGCATTGTGGGCAATAGTTAACCAAGTAGTTTTCATGGGTTGTTGCACTTAATCCTCACGACAACCCTGGCTAGTGGGTATTGTGATTGTGCTCACCTTGCACATGAGGAACCAGAGCTTCCTCCGCTAGTCAAGTGGAGGAACCGTCATTCTCACCCAGCCAGTCTGCCGCACCATCTGCTGTAGGTCAGATACCCAGTTCTGAAGAGGACTGGGTCAAGAGGAGTAATAGAAAAAGCAAGATGAGCAGCTGACAAAGGACTGCTCAGGGAGGTTGTAGTTCAAGAAGAATCAATACCCTGTATCTCCCCTGCCCAGTGGTACAGGCACACCTTTGCTCTTTCTTTTTAGTTTCCATGGAAGGGTGGTGAGGTCAAACCTCCCTCGATGGTGCCACTTGAGTCACCCAACAGAGCGGACAAGCATGTTTTTCTAAAGCACCCTTCCCAATGTGTGTTCCTCGGCATCCCAGTGCTCTAAGATAAGGTTGTGTTGGTGGTGGCGGCAGCTGGAAGAGAGCTTCAGGGTCCAGTGCGTTTGAGAAGTCTCACACCACGTTCCCAGTTTGGAGATTCATAATACACTTTGGCATATCAAATGCTCTGAGACAGTCTACAATAAAAAAAACACCTGTCCATACTTTCTTAAATTTACTGGATCATAGAATCTCTTTGGCCTAGAAAACCTACTCACATGCATTTGGGGAATATTGTTCTAAAAAAATTCCAATTAGAGGCAATGTTTCATAAAGCTTTGTAATTGGATTTGCCTCAGAGTACAGCTGAAGTAACACTCACTCACCTACCTCTCAGCTTTCTTTTTAAAAAAATATTTTATTGATTTTTTAGGGAGAGAAGGGAAGGGAGGGAGAGAGAGAAACATCGATGGGATGCTTCCTGCCTGCCCCCCCCCCCCCAGGAGATCGTGCCTGCAAACCAGGCATGTGCCCTGACTAGCATCTAACTGGCAACCCCTTGGTACACAAGATGATGCTCAACCCACTGAGTCACACAGTCAGGGCCTCCTTGGCTTGCTTTTCATTCAGGCCTGTGGTCTCCAATCTGGCCATACACTGGCATGTATGAACCTCTCTCCAGCACATACTAACTTTTCCAGAACCACTCCTGACACCATGCAAATATAGAAAGGCCATCAAAGTCCCCTCCCACCTGCCTCACTTGCCTTCCTAGTCAGTTCTGTGAATAATTCTGGAACAAAGATCTGGAATGCATTAATGAAGCTCTTATATAATTTGGACTTAGAGAGATGACAGGTCCTCTCAAAAGGCTGGGCGTAGTTGTTTCAATAGTCATCAGGAAGTTTCTCAAGTTTATAGACCCAGAGAGTTTTTTGGTCAGCTTCACCCACAGTGAACCTGGTCACACCCGTGTCAATAAGGCACAGTTTTCTTTTAACTCCCTGGGACTCTTCAGATGCAAAAATGGAGGAGGTGCTAAGGGTGGAAGTCACTCGCAGAAGGGTGGAGGTATGAAATTCACATCCAGTTCAGAAGGGAACCCAGGAAGGTGTGGGGACTCTCCCGACAGATCTCCATCCACCACTTTAGGCCCCTGCCTACGGATTCAGGAACTTAACTGTTTAGAAATATAAATATAAATTCTCATATTCATCAAGGAGAGGAGAGGAAGCCTGAACAACTCATTATCTGCCTTGTTTTGGGTTTGGCCTGAATTATTTTAAGACCTGAAAGGCCTCATTTGATTCTGTAGTCCTCAGATCTTCACTTGGGCCCCTTCTCCTCCAGACAGCACAGCCCGTCCTCGGGGAAGTCACTGCACAGAAAGCCTAGTAGGAACTCGATCGCACGGCATGCTCTGATTCGGCCCCTTCTTTGGCACCAAGTAGGAATGGGCAGTGCCACTATCTGGCAAAGAAGTTCACAGAGAGAAAACCTAGGTGTTGCAGGGAAGTAGTGTTTGTGACTCAGGTGGTGATAATCACAATACTGAACGTGTTTAGAATGCTCTGCAGTTTCCACGGGTTTTTCACTCATTACCATGGTAATGTGCCCAGCGCCTCCAGGTGTCTCCACTCTATGAGGCAACTAGAATGCAGGCGGGTGACGTGCTTGAGGTCACGTCGGGAATCCACAGCTGAGTCAGGATTAGGTCTTAAGTCTTGCTGCCTGTGCCAGGCCATTGTGAGACAAGGCCCTTCTTTCCCTGATTGCATTTGAATCTCTTTACACACAGGGCTTGGGGCAAACAACAAGGTAGAGGCGTGGCTGTTCCCTGAACTCACTGGGGGTGTGTGCAACCTCAAGCTCTTGGCTGATGGAGAGATAGCTCCGGGGTCAGTTTGCTCCTTGATGATTCCACTCTGCCAAACTCGAATTCCAATAAGCAGCCATATTCAGTGTGTCTTAAATGGTCTCTTTGTGTGATTTTGTTTTTTTTTAAATCAATTCCAATGTCAGGCATCATAATACATTTTTGCAAGAGATTATTATTTTAAAGGGACAGACAGCATGTGTTTTATTAATGCTAGAGTCTGGGTTTTTCTTTTTTTACTTTCTTACCCTAGACAGTCTTACCCTAGTCTGACCCTTTGCCCTCGCTATATCTAGTTTTTCTTGCCAATTTATAAATATTCAAATAAAATCTATCTTCACCCCAGCCCGGCCAGGGACACTGGCTCCTCATATATGCTTGCCTGTCAGAACCCTCCACAAACATCAAGTGCCACATCTCACAGAGAAGAGAAGTAGGGAGGAAGATCACTCCATTTCAGGCCCTCTGCCTGCTCTCTTTCCGATCCCATCAGATTTCTCAACAGTTTCAATAACCCACTTAGACTAAGCAGTGTAAAACAGCATGTTAGGGCGAGATGTGTAATGATAATTTTTTCCTGGTATGCCTACACATCTTCAGAAGACATTTGCTTAGTCTATTCCATGATGATAACACTGGTTTCGGATGATCAGGTTCTGAATATTCCTCTAGCTTCTCTTCCCACTCTGGCAATGTGTAGTGACGGGGGAATTAAAGACACAGGCTCAGTTTACCTGCATGAACTCTGAGGCAATGACTCCTAATTAGAACCCTGGGCCTCTGAAGAGAAGGGATGGATGTCCAATATAGGATTATGCAACGAATGAATGAAAGTATTGATTGGTTAGTGCTCATACTCAAGAGAGGGGTTCTCACCGTAGAGGGGAAAGTGCACGTCCCTTTCTTAGACAACGAGACACTGTTGGACACTGGAGATTGGTGAGTGACGTTGTAGGACCCAGGACCCGGGATATCATCCTGAAAGGGAAGAGCACGTGGCGTCATCGGGGTATAGTCAGTTCCACTGTGCTTTTCCATAAGCTTCACACCCTTTAACACTAAGCCTTACCATAACCCGCCAGGGCAGGCCCCGCCGCCTTGTCCCGGGTGGCAGCCTAGCTCCATCTCCAACCTGCCCAGTCACTGTCTCAGATACCAACGGCTGCGTCTGGGACCCCCAAAGCCCTCGCTCTTCCTACTTACTCTACGCCACACTGCATTCTGGAAGAATGCTGCTGTTTTTCACACTATTAGAGAAATGAGCATAAAATGGGATATTAAGCGTGGCTGATGTGCAAGCCAGTGTACACTGGTTGGGTAAGCCAAGCCCACGGGGAGGGAAGGGTGACCGACTTCACGTTAACTACACCCCACCTGACTCAGCTTCCTCCTCAGCCTTTCAGAAGAGAAACCAGGGAGTGTTTCTGTTTATAAAGCAAAATGAAACAAAAACAACCTTCATTCCAAACAAGACCGTTTCTAACTCTCAGGTGTGGGGCTCAGGTGGTAAATGACACAGGTATGATAGAGAGGAATACACAAACGTTTGACTTCTAAGCTTATTTCTGCTGTAGCCCCTAACTGGACTTTCGTCTCAATTCCCATGCTAGTTACCAGGGGAAGTCAATGTTGACAGAAGTTGGCCGAGCAAGAAGCATGAAATGATAAGGACGCTCCTCTGTCTCAAGAGTTTACTGGGTGCCTACCTGGTGCCAGAAGCTTTTCAAAGATTGTCTCATTTAACCCTCCAATGCAGAAGGGATCACTGTCCTCGTTTAATGGATAGAGACACTGAGGCATGTGGAGATGAATTTGCCAAAGGCCCCACTGCTGTGGGTGGCAGTGCCAAGTGCATGGTGTACACACGTCCTTTGCAGTCCATCTTAAGGAAAGTGAAGCCCGGAGACACTAGTCTACAGCTATTAAATGACGGCTCCAGAACTCACTCTCCCCAACTTCTGTCGCCCAGGCGCCTCCTAGCTCCACTATCCCTACTACCTTCCTCAGGGCAGAAAGAAAGCTGAAGGTATCATCAGGGCCTGCAAGGACTTTCCCTCTGGCCTGAGCAGTGTGTGATTATGGTTTAATATAAAGGCTAGGGTCATCAGTGCTATGAACAGGTTCTTCTGTGCCGGGTTTTAAATGCAGTGAATCCTTTGAGCCTTGCGGGTGGGGACAGGGGTGTTATTCCTGCTTTGTGGCTACTGATGATCCCTGGTGGACAGGGAAGGAGCTGACTGCCAAGGGAGAGTGAAGCAGGGCACGAAAGATGGAGCCAACCAGGTGCATGAGCACCCAGGCCACAGTCAGGAGAACTGGCACGTGGGTGCTGAGTCAAGGTGCTACAGGGAAACCAGGAGAGCTTTTTCTAGGGGCTGTGCACAGGACCAGCATTTGTTATGGAGTGGTCGCTGTGTGCCAGGCACTGTGCTGAGCACTTTACATGCACTAACTCATCTAATCCCCCTTGAAGGTGAGAAGACAGGGCCAAGGTCACAGAGTCAGTAAGTGTCAGAGCCAGAATTTGAACCCGGGCAGTGTGAGTACAGAGTCTGCTTTTCACTAGTAAATGTGTAGGATAGAAGGGAAAAGATTCCACTGGATTATGAATCCGGAATTCTTGTTCTCAATGCTGCTATTTGCTAGGTGATCCTGAGTCAGTCACCTCTGAAGACCTAACTTTCCTCATTTGGAAATCAAAGATGTTGGGCTAAATGTCTCTGGGTGCCTTTTAGCTCTCAAAGCCCCTACACCAGGGGAAAGCAGAGGCAAGAAAGGTAAATGGACTCGCCCGGGTTTATTTTTTTTTTTCCTCACCCGAGGACATTTTTTTCCATTTTTTGCACAGATAGAGTGGGAGGGAGAGAGAGAGAGAGAGAGAAACATCGACGTGAAAGGGACACATCAAGTGGCTGCCACCCGCATGACCAACCAGGGCCGGGGACAAACTGCAACCGAGGTACATGCCCTTAGCGGGAACTGAACCCGGGTCTCTCCGGACCGCAGGCCGATGCTCTAACTGCTGAGCCAAACCGGCCAGGGCTGGACTCGCCCGGGTTTAAAGGGTGAGCAGTGAGGTGGATACCTCGACCTCCCAGGCTGCGCCCGCTCAGCACAGCCCCCCGCCCACAGGATTTCCTGGGCACTGTGTGTGTCTGGGAAACTGAGGTTGCTAGATAAAATACAAGACCTGCAAGGCTGCCTGGTTAAATCTGAATTTCAGATAAACAACAAAAAACTATTTTAGAATAAGTATGTCCCAGTACTATTTGAGATCTACTTATACTGAAACAGTTGCTTATTTATCTGAAAATCTAAATTAATCAGGAATCCTATACTTTTATTTGCTAAATCTGGAAATCCTACTGGACCTTAATCACATTTTAATTCTGCCACACTGCCAACTGGTTTGAGGCCCAATAAGGAGTGTCCCTCTTAGCCTGGAGGGGGAAGTACGGCCTGGTTGCTCTTTAATGAATGTCCCAAACGAGTCCTCAGGCAGCAGGACGCTGGAGCTGGCCAGCAGCAGCCTGTGAGAGTGACTGCTACCAGTTCAGAAATGGCAGTATTCACACCACAGAAACTGGCAAATGCTGTACATCAGAGCTTTTCTTGGTGGAGGGGAGAGCTGGTTCACCAGCACACCACTGGCTATCCTCACGTGACACCCAAGTAGACTTATACGCTGCTTGGGGGGAAACGTCCAGCTGCAGAAAGTTCAAGCCTCCTCCTGCAACTGCTAGAGGTGGTGGGGGGCTCTCTGGAAAAACAATAAAAATCCAGACCTTTCACCTCCAGGATATCAGTACATGTGACAAATACTGCGTGACTTTAATGAGTCTCAGAGCACAACCCAGAGATCGAGAATTCAACTTGCCACTGGTGTAAACTTAGCCACCCCGCAGTTTCTTGGCCAAGACTGCCCCAGAGGGCAAAAACCAAAAAGCAAACAAAACAAAAATGAGTGTGAGGGAGAAGAGATGAGAACTCTTTCTTTGAGCACTAGGGCTGCCTGCTGAGTGCTGTGCAGGGAGCATCATGCCAATGCCATTCCCGGGGTCTCCGGCGCTGGCCCCCAGGTGGCGATGGATGAGTCAGTGCATGCAGAGAGGTCACAGGGGCCCGGTGTGCTCAGCCTCTGCCATCACCACTACTCTGCGCTGCCCACAACAGTCTCAGGGCCTTCCCTTGAGGGCTACAGACCTGCAGAGTGGGACCAAGCAAGGGCTGATGGGCTGATGTGCTCCCATCCCCCACCTAATACACATCTGGGTGACATTGGATTGAAATGCACTTTGAGGGCTCATTTGAAGGATGAAAGCCTCAAATGGGCAGCCTCTGCCTGTGCCCAGGGCGGGACACAGACCTGCATCCACTGGACCTTGGGACAGGTTTGGAGAAGGGTGAGGAGGGTGAAGAAAGAGGGCAGGGCATTTGCCTCCTCACCCCAGAGCTCTCCAGAGGCTATGGAGGGCCTCATGCCCCAGCCTGGAGCCAGCGACACCTGCACACGGCCTGGACTCTCCAGTCGTGATTGCCTAGGTTCTGTCCAACCGATACTTTCCGGTTTGTCAAATACTTTCCATGTCCTGGCTTGGAAAATGCGGTCTCTGCTGGATTTCTGGCTGAAGACCACACTGGAGCTGCCTGGGACCCATCAAAGATGCTCCCCCTTGCTTGGGGTTGGCTAGCTGCTGTTTCCTCAGGAGCGCGCAAGATGAGTGAAAACGAGGAGTTTGCTAATGGCTAGAAGCACGTAACAGAAGGAGGACATTCCTGAGGTGGGAACAGAGCTCTGTCCTATGGTTAATCCACTGGCAAAGCCACACAGGAATTTGGGGTTCCTGAGGGAACAATTTCCTTCCACAATGCCTCTAGTCTTAGGGTCCTGGAAAACACGTCCATCCACTAAAGCCCTTCCGGTTCGAGCTGCCTACAACTCTGAGATTTGCCCCTTATGAGACATCCTTCCTCCTCTCTGCTCTCTCCCCTCCCTGCCCCCCTCACTCCACACGTCCGTGTGGCATCCAAGCTCACAGCTCTGGCCACAAGGAAAGGGAGAGGCAGTGACAGCACTCAAACCTTGGAATGGGGAAGGACGTCGGAGAGGACACATCCCTGGGAGCCTGAAGGGAGCACCCAGGGACACCAGGGTGAGTTCTCTTGACAGAGTGTTTCTTAGTCGCCCAGGTGAAGAGTAGGTGTGGGGAAAGGAAGGGCAGCTGGGACACCAGCCACCCCAGGAGGTGAAAATGGGGACCAGTCTCTGCCCATCGCTGGCCTGGCCAGGTTGGAAACACAGTCAGACAAGAGAAGTCGCACCACGTTTGCAGTCTCTTAGATCGGTCATCTCTGCAAGTACCACGCTCCTCTTCTTCAGAGCCCTCCCCGTTCTTAAATCTGGGTCAGCCTATTAGCAGTCCCTTGAAATCCCGGGTGGAATGTGGCCGAAACTCAATTCCACAGACATACATTAAAAGCTACTGTGGGCCAGAGCCCGCGCTAAGGTGCGAGGTTACAGGCACAACCAGTAAGCCGCTCACAAGCCCCAGGAGTGGGGTGAAGGAGACACAGCAAAACACGGCAGCCTAGATGGGATGCGTTCCTGTGACTCAGTGAGAAATGCAGAGGCTTGAATTGGGGTCATTCGTTCCATCCACAGCTGAGGGGCTTTGGAGTCTGGAAAGGACCGCGGTGGTTGCTACAAGGAGCTCCCAGGCAGGTGGAGATAAGATGTGCACACCCAGCACCATCAGGCCCAGGAGGTCAGGGACATCAGACTGGCTCTGGGAGTTCAGAGGAGGGTGCGTTTGCTTGCACCAGGGCAGACATCAGGTAGTGTCTGGGAACCAGGAGCTGCTGCCTGGGTTCGTCCTCCCTCTGCCTGACTCTGGCTGCACAAGTTACTTAACTCTCTTTGTGTCTCAGGGTCATTATCTGAAAAGTGGGGATAATGATGGGACTTAGCTCACAGGGCTGTTATGGGGATTAAATGAATTAATAAATGCAAAGGTCTTCAAGGGGTGCCTGCACGCTTTCTGTGCCAGCCAGTGTCTGCTACTTCAGGGGTGTGTCCTGCAGACCCCTTAGGAAGGGGGCTGGGGGCTCCCAGAGCAGGAAGGTCAGGCAGACCCTGTTGTGGTTCAGACATGCAACTGCGTGCACATTTGGGGTAATTATCCCCTTGACCACGGTGGTCTATACACACTGAGCTTCTTTCCATTTAAGTATCGCCGACATACAAAATGCCCCTGGTCCAGTGCCTTGTCAAGTTAATGACTGGACAGTGTTAACTCTGTGCACTTTCATCACATATTAAACACTGGCCTGCTTACCATTTGAAAGGGTAGATTTAGTGTCCGGCTATGTATGAAATGAACATGTATTGTTAAATTGTGCCCATCCAGAGGATATGGTGCCCGTGTGCTACCACTATTCATTTACATGAGCCTGGGAGGATCATTCAGGTTTGGAATCATAGAACAGTAATCCCTGGAAAGGGCCTACCTATTAGAACACCCTTATTTTTAAGATGAGATGCAAAGACATTAGGTGGGTATCCTTAGTGTCACACAATTTGGGAAACAGTAACCACAGTCCAGGGCCAAACAGGGACAGAAAAGGAAAGATGGGGGAAGAAAATGTCCATCGGGCTCCAGGGCTATGCTCTGATGCTCTGTCCCAGATTAGGCATGTCCCTTCATGTACGGGAGTCACCAGCACACCTGTAAATAACTATAAAATGTTCAGGGGAGCAGACTTCATTTTCAGCAGCCAGAATTGCCAGTCCAGACACCAAGCTCTGTGAAGGATTCCTTGTACCCAGCAGTCAGATTCTTATGGGGGATGTGAGCTGGGCAACGAGGCCTTGGCATTTCCTACAAAGTTAGACTGATAAGGTAAGTGTACGTTTCAAAGGGCACCGATGTTAGATGTGTAAGTGGGTCACAGAATTAATTTGAGGCCACAACCGAGTTATGAGATCAGGCACAGGGTGTGTGCGAGTGATGTTTTAAGAAGGGCGGTGAGACACTGGAGTTTTAAAATCTGTTTTTAATTCGTATTGCCTCACTAAATTATTGGGTGATGCTAAACAAGATCCTTAACTTCTCAAAGCCCATTTCCCTCAGGAAAAATGAGAACAATGAGCATGAAATAAGACATTTTTTCCTGTTTTATAGCTTGAAGAAACTCATAAAATTATATATTCCAAATGTTATGTTTCAGATGAGAAAACTGAAGCCCAGAAAAGCCAGGTGACTGCAGGGACAGAGCTAGTAACAGAGCAGGACATAGGGAACCTGACCGATGGACGCCTTGCCCTTTCCACAAAATCCCATACTTATTTACGAAATGCTTTCAAATACTTAGGTGAAATTTTCCTGCTGTCAAACCAATGTGACCACATTTGAAAAGTGTGAATCAAAGTTCTGAGTTATCTCTCTCTATTTGATGCTGCCTAGAGCATTGGCTGGATGTCATCTTGGTTCCTTCAGCAGAAAATTTTCTGAAAGCCAGTAGTAATTTGAGATGCTAACTTTAAAGGCCAGTCCACTCCATTTCTGTGTTTGTGTCTTCAGCACTAGAGCATGTAGAATGGAGTCTTACACATATTGCTTGCCGTCCTCCCCTATCTTGAGCTTGGTCTGTTTTGCTAAGTCCTTTTCAGAAACATGCTCTCTGGCTCTCATAGGTCAAATTTATGGCTTTGCAGTCCACAAAGGGAGGTGTGGTGCAGTGTGTGGAAAGAGCATGAGGCTTCGGAGTGAGCTAGTCCTGGGTTTGAGGTCTAATTCTTTCAACATTGATTCAGCAAATATTTTTGTAGGGCCTCTTATGTGCCAAAGCCTGCGTTGTGTGACCTTGGATAATAAACCCTTCCCTTAGCATTGTTCTGAGGAGTAGAGATGTGATCTAAAAATGATTTCATCCACAGTAGGCATCAGTAAATGGTGGCTGCTATTATTTTTATTGGAGGTTGGACTGCAAATATCCTACAGATGGATAATATATTATCGCTAAACTGACAAATGGGAAACCAGACAGAAACGAGACAGAGACAGATGGACAGTTAAGACATAGACAGATAAACTAAGAGAGAGAAGAGAGGAAATTCCTAAGCAAATATCTTATTTATCATCTTTGGGGAAAACCTACAAGTAATTAAAAATATGTGTGTGTGTACGTGTGTGTGTGTACGTAAGAGTGTGTGTACACACACTCACTATATTCTTTATTATTTGCTTTCTTAGAATCCTAAAATACCAGAAGAGGAAGGCACTTAAATCAGCATTCTTGTTTACAAAGAAGAAACAGGCCAGGGGCATAGGGGCTGGCCAAGGCCCCTCACTCACCTGCATTCATTCACAACCTAGATCTCATTCCCTCTCCACCTTCTCGGCAAGGTGGTAAGATGAAAAAACATTTTTACAACACATCAAAAGGTAACTGAGATGGTGACTACTCCAAAAGAATGTTATTCTAAAAGTCTTGGTTAAATGAAGAAAGGGATGAAGGTTTTAATGAAAACTCAAAACGTCTGTGAGTTGTTTGCGCCCCCTGCTGGTGAGAGAGGAAGTCAGATCCCTGAGCCTTGAACAGGTGAGCTCCCCTAAGTTGGGTGAAGGACAGTTAGAAGCCAAGCAGAACGTTCCAGATCAAAGAGGAAAAGACACACAGATAATTGGAGAAAAGAGTGAGAATGGAGGCAATACAGGAACAATAATAACACATTGTTAAAAGAAGTCTAAAAAAGAGGGGTCCTCATCACAAAGGTCATTTTAAATTTATTAGACTCTTATTTTTCCTTTTGTTTGAAGAAAGTCTTGTTATTTCCTTTCATATTATAAACAGTGAAGCTAGGGGAGAAAGAGGAAAAGATGTTTATCTTTTACTTATATCGCTGGAATTTTTTTTTAATGTTCTATTTATCTAATAATTTTAAAAATACATTTCTTATAAAAATTCTTTTGGTTCAGTGAAGCACCACCTGGACATGTTGCTTTCCCCAGGGTTTAATATCTTTCCAGCTCATTCTCTTTTAAAAAAAGGAAAAAAGTTCTTAAAATGTTTTACTTACAGTATTATTTTGTATTGGTTTCAGGTCTACAGTATAGTGGTTAGACCATCACATTCTTTACAAAGTATCCCCCACCACGATATTTCCAGTACCTACCTGAAACCATATATGAATAACACAATATGATTGACTATATTCCCTATGCTGAACTTGACACCCCGGGACTATTTTGTAACCGCCAATTTGTACTTCTTAATTCCTCATCACCTCTTTACCCAGTCCTCCAACCCGCCTGCCCTCTGGCGACCACCAGTCAGCTCTCTGTGTCTATGAATCTGTTTCAGCTCCTTACAATCCAGAGCTGTTGGAGAGGCGGCTGTGGCTCCTTAGATAACACTGCCCTCTACTGGTCACAGGCACAGATGCACCGGCCAGACGTGCCTGCTTGTTCAGAGAGGCTAAAATCCAGACTAAAAGTAAAGAATCTCTAAGACAATGTAATTACCTTTTTATAATAAAATCTCTTGGCTTGGCTATTAAATCCTTTTTTTTCTGATTCGTTAATTATTGTAGACGTATATTTAGAAGGAATGGAGGACTGTGTTGGATATGCAGCAGTAAAACCTAAACAACAAAAATTAGCACAGAACAAAGAATTGACAAATGCAGAAAACACAGAGCTATACATTAACATTTTATCTTAAATTGAATAGAAGAGAGACTTGTCTTTTGACAAGAGATAAACATGAAACTGGATTTTTTTAAAGTATTCCCCATTTTACTTTCTTACCCTCTTGGTAATGTATTGGGATTTCCCCCCTCGAGTTGTTAAACTAGCAAGACTTGGTAACATAGTGGAAGTGAACTGTCCCAGGGAAGAGGGAGGACCTGACAGGGAAGACAGACACAAAACCACCTGGATACGAAACCATCACTTAATCCCAGCCCAGAGTGACACACCAGCGAAGTATCATAAAGATCCAGAGAGATGGGGAAATCTCAGAGTGGGGCTCTCACTTTTCAGGGCACTGTGAAAACAACTCTGCTCTGAGTAGACATGGGGTTAAAAAGCAGAGGGCATTGCCCTGGCCAGTTTGGCTCAGCAGTTGGAACATCGGCTCATGGACCAGAGAATCCTGGGTTCGGTTCCCGCTAAGGGCACGTACTTTGGTTGCGGTTTGTTCCCAGCCCCGGTTGGGGTCGTGTGGGTGGCAACCACTCCATGTGTCTCTCTCACACTGATTTTTTTTTTCTCTCTCTCTCTCCCTCCTGCTCTATCTGAAGATAAATGAAAAAAAAAAAAAAGCAGAGGGCATCATTTATAGGAAACCAAGTTAAAAATTTATACAGCGGGGTTGTGATGTATAGACGATACATAAAATCCCCCTTTTCCCTCCTCCCACTCCCACTGTGGGAGAATGTCCACAATATGAATTCCACAGGCAGCATCTGTCTGCACACCCGCTGATTACAAACTCATCCTGAGTGTAATAAAATCTGACTCCAATTTGTAGTTTGACTGCTGACAGCTTTTAAGCCTCGACCCTCCCTCTTCCTTTTCTGCCCCAAGTCTGGATAAGCTGATGAGAAGGCTCAGATGCTCCCACCTTTGGTACTTGCTAGAAGTTCAGCCATGCAAACCCCTGCCCTCACGCCAGCCCCACTTCCTCACCACAATAAAACCTCAGGTCAGTCTCCTTTCCCTACTCTCTCAAGCCACTATTGGGCCAGACTAGAAAGCCTGCCCTGCTCACCCCCAGAAAACCTCATTATGTGAGTAATAAACCTTTTCACATCCCCTTGATGTGGGTGTGGCATCATCAGTCCTGACATCAAATTTAGGGGGTCTATCCTGACTGCAACATGTCCACAGCAGACAGCCAAGTTATCTCAACATCAGAGTGCTCACCCTCAGAGGGGAAATGTGCAAAAGGATCGCCAAGACAAAGAAAGAAAGATGTGTTAGGGTGGGGTGAGGTTGCATGAAAACTATCTTTAATGCCCATTATTTAGTCTCCAAATTTTTGAAAAACAAAACAAAACTACCTTTCAGAGAGGAAAGCCCAATGCCAACAGGGGCCCCTCAGGAGGTACTATTACCAACAAGCTTCACAGATGAGGAAATTGAGGCTTAGATTGATAGTTACTCAATTAAATCACACAGCAACACTTAATAGTGCAACACCTAAGGTTTGAAAACAGTTTGTCTGATGAGCCCAGGCTCCTAAACTCTTCCTGAGCCTGGCTCATAGTTAAGACTCAATAAACAAATTAATGAAATAATGGGGAGGGGGCAATCTAGCCGACTTTGCCTGGGTTGTGGATGAAGCAAATAAAAGCTGAATATGTTTGGTTAGAAAACATTTGGCAATACCTACCTCTGATAGATTTATTTTCCTTCCATCTCCCTTCTGCCCCATCTAAGTTAAGAAGATGTTTATATATTTTTTCTTTAAGGGACCTAGAGAGCAATCAGAAAGCAGTGGATGCAAGGCTTCCTAGCTTTTGTTTCTGAAAACCTAGGTCAGTAGAATAACTGAGTTTGCAGAGACAGCAGTAAAGAAAGGGGGCTTATTGTCCTAGCTGGCTTGGCTCAGTGGTGAGAGCATTAGCCCGCGGACCCGAGTCGTAGGTTCAATTCTGGTCAAGGGCATGTACCTTGGTTGCAGTTTGGTCCCCGGTCTTGGCCGCAGTTTGGTCCCCGGCTTTGGTCAGGGTTGTGTGAGAGGCAACAAGTCAATGTGTCTCTCACATCCCATGTGTCTCTCTCACAATGATGTCTGTCTGTCTGTCTGTCTCTCTCCCCCCCTCCCCCTTCCACTCTGTCTGAAAAGAAATGGAAAAATATCCTCAGGTAAGGACCTAAAAAGGGGGGAGGGGTTATTAACAAAGGAAAAGGGAAGATATTCCCCTGGAAAAAGGAACAGTTTCTCCTTGACTAAAAAGGAGATCAAACACTTTGGTTCTGGCTGTGGCGGAATGGTGTGTGTATCAAAGCAACCCTCTATGAGAACCACCAAAAAAAAAAGATTTTTAAATATGTCCTCGGGTGAGGATAAAAAATAAATAAATAAACAAACAAATAAATAAATAATATTTTTATTGATTTTTTTAGACAGAGGGATGGGAGAGAGAGATAGAAACATCAATATGAGAATACTGATCAGCGGCTGCCTCCTACACGCCCCCAACTGGGGATCGAGCTCACAACTGGCAAGTGCCCTGACTGGGAATCGAACTGGGACCTCAGTACATGAGATGACACTCAATCCACTGGGCCACACCAGCTGGGAAAAAAATGAATTTTTTTTTTATCCTCACCCAAGGACATTTTTTTCCATTTTTTGTTCAGATAGAATGGGAGGGAGAGAGAGAGAAAAAAACATCGACGTGAAAGGGACACATCGAGTGGCTGCCACCTGCACCACCAAACAGGACCGGGGACAAACTGCAACCGAGCTATGTGCCAAACCCGGGTCTCTCTGGACCGCAGGATGATGCTCTAACCGCTGAGCCAAACCAGCCAGGGCCAAGAATGGATTTTTAGAAAACACTCTGGATAACTGACCTTCCACTTTCAACCAAAATGAGACTGAATTTGCCCTCCTAACAGAAAAAAAAGTTAACAATGGACAAAATATATGATATAGTGGTTTTCAAGGCACTGGACATCAAGCAACAAAGGACAGGGATCTCTGGAGATGGGACACATTTAAGGTTTGCAATAAGACTGCCCCCAGTGTACTGCTTACTGGAGAAGGCACACAGCACAGGAAGGAGAAATGCAGGTGGAGCCTGGTGGTCTTCCTGAGTGGAGGAAATGGATCTGAGAGCCCATAAAGGTCAGATGGCTAGACTTCACAGGACACAGAACCAGAGAAGAGAGTGACATAAAGAAAGCGCTCTGTAGACATGCATAGAGAAAGTCCTGAGTATTGATCAGCACATGCATATCAGAAAACTACCCAAAGCTGGGGAAAGAATCAACTGCAAGAATTAGGGTGAATAATACCTGAAGTGTATACTGGGCCAGGAATAATTCTTATTCCCACAAGTCAGAGTGGAAAACATCATAATTCACAGAACCTAGAGTAGAGTATACAGAAGGGTTTTGCCTCAGAAATAAGGCAAAATTATCCCTAGACTAAACACTGCTCTGGTTCCAAAGAACAAAGCTTAAAAGTGAGACTTCAAAAGATCAAACTGTTTCCAGCTAATTTAAGGACTTCTCAAACAAAGCACAAGAATTGATAGGACTACAAAAAAATATAGACCCAATTCAAAGTATCTGGCATCCAATAAAAACTTGATGGGCTTGCAAAAAAAAAAAAACTTAATGGGATTGCAAAAAAGGAAGATACAATTTATAACAAGGAGAAAATAAAACCAACTCAGAGCTCTGGCCAGTTTGGTTCAGCGGTTAGAGCAATGGCCTGCGGTCCAGAGAGAACCAGGTTTGGTTCCCGCTGAGGGCAAGTGCCTCGGTTGTGGTTTTTTCCTGGCCCTGGTTGGGTCATGCGGGTGGCAGCCACTCAATGTGTCCCTTTCACATCGATGTTTCTCTCTCTCTCTCTTCCTCTCTCTCCCTCCCGCTCTGTCTGAACAAAAAATGGAAAAATGTCCTCGGGTGAGGATATAAAAAAATTTAAAAAAAAAAAACAACTCAGAAATGATACAGATGAGAATATTATAATTGCTATAACTGTATTTGATATGTTCAAGAAGCTAGAGAAAAGATTAACATGTATTAAAAGGAAAGACATGGAAGATACAAAAATGATCCAAATCAAACTTCTATAGATGAAAACTAAGATATCCGAGATTTAAAAATACACTAGATGAGAGGAACAGTAGACTAGACACTGCAGGGGTAGGGGGGGGAAGGCTAGTAAACTAGAAGACATAGAAATAGAAACTATCCAACATAAAACACAGAGAGTAAGTGATTTAAAAACGCAGAATATCAGTGAGCTATGTGACAACTTCCAGGAGGCTAATATACATGCACTTGGACTCTCCAAAGAAGAAATGTGGGGAGGAAGGAAAAAGAAAATTATTTCAAGAAAAATGAAAAATTTCCAAACTGGTTAAAAACTATAGACCTCCAGATCCAAGAAAGTAAATGAACCTCAAGCACATGAAATATGAATAAAACCACACCATTGGGACTTCCGGTCAAGATGGCGGCGTAGGTAAACATGGTATCGCATCCTCCCACAACCACATCAAGGTTACAACTAAACTACAGAACAATCATCATTCAAAACCGCCTGAAATCAAGCTAAATGGAAGTCCTACAACTACGGAATTAAAGCAGCAGCTACACCGAGACTGGTAGGAGGGGCAAAGGCACGACGGGCTGGTCCCACACCCACGTGTGGCGGATACAAATCTGGAGATGACCCGCTCAGGGTTCCAGTGCCAGGAAGAGAATCCCCATAACTTCTGGCTGGAAAAACCAGCGGGAACTGAGGCTCAGGGAAGCTGACGAGCTGGAGCCCCAGGCAGCTCCTTAAAGGGCCCACGCTCGAACTTATCAGACTCTCTCCCTCTAAGCTTGGAGGGGAGGCAGCTCGAGGGCACCAGAGACATACAGGGAAGAACGGAGCTGTTTGGCACTGGAGCAGGGCTGGAGAGGCGGCTTTCTCCGGGACAAACGTGCTGCCAGAGGCCTTTGTTCCTTTGGTAGCTCTGCCCTGGTGACTCCCTGAGGCCCCGCCCCACCCAACTTTCAGGCCCACCCAAGCTGTTGCCAGTTGCTTTACCATAGGATTGGCCTGTCTTGGATCCTGCCTCAGGTTTTGCTAAATTCTTTCAAACAAGCAGCATCTGGTCTCAGATAGCCCCATACCTCTTGTTAAGTAATACACAGAAACAAACACAGGGAGGCAGCCAAAATGAGGAGACAAAGAAACAGGTCCCAAATGAAAGAACAGAACAAAACCCCGAGAAAAGAACTAAGCGAAATGGAGATAAGCAACCTAACAGATGAACTAAGTGAAATGGAGATAAGCAACCTAACAGATGCTGAGTCCAAAACACTGCTTATAAGGATGCTCAATGAACTTAGTGAGAACCTCAGCGAACTTAGTGAGGGCCTCAAGAGCATAAAAAAGGACCAGTCAGAAATGAGGGATGCACACTCAGAAATGAAGGAGGCACTAACTGAAATAAAGAATAATTTACACAGATTCATTAGCAGAGTAGGTAAAACCAAGAAGCAAACTATCAATTTGGAATATAAGGAAGCAAAAAACACCCAATCAGAACAGCACAAAGAAAAATGAATCCAAAAAAAATGAGGAGAGTGTAAGGAGCCTCTGGAACAACTTCAAGCATGCCAACATTCGCATCTTGGGGGTGCCAGAAGGAGAAGAGAGAGGACGAGAAATCGAAAACCTATTTGAAACAATAATGGCAGAACTTCCCTAACTTGGTGAAGGAAACAGACACACAAGTCCAGGATGCACAGAGAGTCCCAAACAAGATGAACCCCAAGAGGCCCATACCAAGATACATCATCATCATCATCATCAAAATGCAAAAGATTCAAGACAAAGAGAGAATCTTTTTTTTTTTTTTTTTTTTATCCTCACCCGAGGACATTTTTCCATTTTTTGTACAGACAGAGTGGGAGGGAGAGAGAGGAAGAGAGAGACAGGGAAACATCGATGTGAAAGGGACACATCGAGTGGCTGCCACCCTCATGACCAACCAGGGCCGGGGACACACAAGTCCAGGATGCACCTTAGCGGGAACCGAACCCGGGTCTCTCCGGACCGCAGGTGGACGCTCTAACCGCTGAGCCAAACCGGCCAGGGCCAAAGAGAGAATCTTAAAAGCAGCAAGAGAAAAGCAGTTAGTTACCTACAAGGGAGTTCCCATAAGGCTGTCAGCTGATTTCTCAAAAGACACTTTGCAGGCCAGAAGGTAGTGGCAAGAAATATTCAGAGTGATGAAAAGCAAGAACCTACAACCAAGATTATTCTATCCTGCAAAGCTGTCATTTAGAATCGATGGCCATATAAAGAGTTTCCCAGACAAGAAAAAGTTAAAGGAGTTCATCACCACCAAACCGTTATTATATGAAATAATGAAGGGTCTTTTTGAAGAAAAAGATAAAATATATGAGCAAACAAAATGGCAGTGAATACATATCTACCGACAGTGGAATCTACAAACAAAATGAACAGGCAGAACAGAAACATTCTCATAGATACAGAGAACATTTTGTTGGTTGCCAGATGGGAGGGGGTTGGAGGAATGGGTGAAAAAGGTGAAGGGATTAAGAAGTACAAATGCATTGTTAGACTGACAAACCTCAAAGGGAAAGGGGTTGGGGGGTGTGAAGAAATAAACCAAAGAACTTATATGCATAACCAATGGACACAGACAATAGTGGGAAAAGGCGGGAGGGGGGTGGTCAATGGGGAAAAAATGAGGAACATCTGTAATACATTCAACAATAGAGATTAAAAAAAAAAAACACACACACACACACACCATGGCACATAAAATAATCAAATTGTTTTTAAAAAGTGCTAAAGAGCCCTGGCCGGTTTGGCTCAGCGGTAGAGCATCAGCCTGCAGACCAATGAGTCCCGGGTTGGATTCCAACCTCAGCTGCGGTTCATCCCAGGCTCTGGTTGGGGTCGTGCAGGAGGCAACCAGTTGATGTCTTTCTCATGTCGATGTTTCTCTCTCTCTCCCTCTCGCTCTACCTGAAGATAAATAGAAAAATATCCTCGGATGAGGATAATTTTTTTAAAAAGTGATAAAGAGAAAATTTTAAAATCAGGCAGAGGAAAAAAAAAAGACACATTACATTTAAGGGAACAAAAAGAGATAGCTGACTACTGTTGGAAACAATATCTTTAAGGTAAGAGAAGAAAAAAGAAACTGTCATCCTAGAATCCTGTACCAAGTAAAATATCTTTCAAAAACAAGAGCAAAATAAAGACTTTTAAATATATACAAGAGCTGAAAGAATTAATCACCAGCAAACTAGAACTATAAGAAAAGTTAAAGGAAATCCTTCAGGTAGAAAATAAATGATACCAGTTGGAAATCTGTATCTACATGAAGGAATGAAGAGCTCTGGAAATAGTAACTATGTGGGTAAATATAAACTATAGAATGAGGAGTATACATGAATACATTTAGATATAAATATAACATTTAAATCCACCCCTCACCCCCCACAAGACATCTGTTATTAAATTCACTAGACCTTTCTGTATTTTGTTGACAGTTCTGGAATGTGTTTTGCCAGGTTCTTGGTCTTTTTGTGCAGAATTATCCATCTTAACAAAGTTCTGTGATATGTTTCATTTGTTTGATGAAAAACTCTACTACCTGTTCTTCCAAGCACCTGAAACAGAAAAATACAGCATTAGTAGGAATCATTTCACATTTTTGTTAATTATGTTGATTGAATTCTGTTCCCTCTGTATGACAGACTAAGAAATCCTGTGGGTATAGGCTAAGATTTACCAGGATCTATGACCTGAAGTCACAAGTACAGTGTACTTGCTGCGTGTAGAAGAAACTCTGTAAGTATTCCAGAGCTATTGAAGGCTTGGATTTTATAAATTTATCTTCACTGAGATTATTTACCTACATACAATATAATTCAGTAGTTCAATGGGTACAATTCTAAATTTTGGCGAATGTTTAAAATTATGTTAAATACCACCACAATTAAGATATAAATATATTGCCCTGGACAGTTTTGCTCAGCGGTTAGAGCATCGGCCTGCGGTCCGGAGAGACCCGGGTTCGGTTCCCGCTAAGGGCATGTGCCTCGGTTGCAGTTTGTCCCCGGCCCTGGTTGGTCGTTCAGGTGGCAGCCACTTGATGTGTCCCTTCACGTCGATGTTTCTCACTCTCTCTCCCTTCCTCTCTCTCCCTCCCACTCTATCTGTACAAAAAATGGAAAAATATCCTCGGGTGAGGATAAAAAAAAAAAAAAGATATAAATATATTGCCCTGGCCAGTTTGGCTCAGCGGTCAGAGCATCAGCCCATGGACCAATGAGTTTCAGGTTCAATTCCAGTCAAGGGCATATATACTTGGTTGTGGTTCATGACCCTGGCTGGATCATGCAGGAGGCAACCAGTCGATGTGTGTGTTTCTCTCTCCCCCACCTCTCTCCCTCCTTCTCTCCCTCCCATCCACTCTGTCTAAAAATCAATGGAAAAATATCCTCTGGTGAGGATAAAAAATAAATAATTTTTTTTTTTTTTAATCCTCACCCGAGGACATTTTTCCATTTTTTGTACAGATAGAGTGGGAGGGAGAGAGAGGAAGAGAGAGAGAGGGAAACATCGATGTGAAAGGGACACATCGAGTGGCTGCCACCCGCACAACCAACCAGGGCCGGGGACAAACTGCAACCGAGGTACATGCCCTTAGCAGGAACCGAACCCGGGTCTCTCCAGACCGCAGGTGGACGCTCCAACCGCTGAGCCAAACCGGCCAGAGCTTAATTTTTGAAAAGATATAAATATATCCATCAGCCCAAAAAAATTTTCTGTTTCTCTGCAGTCAATACCTTCCCAACTTTCACATCTTGCAACCACTGCTCTGCTTTCTGTCACAGTGGTTGCCTTTTCTAGAATGTTTATATATGTGTGTGTGTGTGTGTGTGTGTGTGTGTATGTAATCATACAGTATATACTGATTTGTATCTGTCTTTTTTCACTTAGTGCAATGCTTTTAGGATTCTACCACATTGTTGCCTATATCAGTAGTTTGTTCCAGTTGCTATACATCCTCACCAACACTTGTCTGGTAAATCTTATTAATTTTAGTTATTCTAATGGTCCTATCATGGTATCTCATTGTCACTTTAATTTGTCTAATTTCATGTGCTTATTTGCCATTTATTTACCTTCTTTGGTAAAATGTCTGTTTGTTCAAAGCTTCTGCCCTTTTTTAAACACTTGGGTTATCTTATTAAGTTGTAAACTTTTTAATATATTCTGGATACAAGCCCTTTATCATACCAGCCCCTTATCATATATATATTTTGGAAATATTTGCTCTCAGTTTGAGGCTTGAATTTTCATTTTCTTATATATTTGAGGCTGTCTTGAATTTTCACAGAATGCTAGGGTTCCCTAGAACTCATTTTGAAAATTCTTGGGGCAGTTCACTGTTGGGTAGTCTCTATCTGTACCAAGGCTGATTCATTCATATATTCTCATTCTCATTCTCATATTCTCTCTCTCTCTCTCTCTCTCTCTCTCTCTCTCTCTCTCTCCACTCATTCTAATTTCAACTCTTGAAATCAGCTCAGAATAAGTTTCATTCCTCTTCCACATTGATTTTCAAAATGCAGGCCATAGTCTGTAGTCTTTTATTAAGTTTGTTTTTATGTACATGTGTGTGTTTCTGACCATGGATCACAGTAAAAAAGTTTGAAAGCCACTGTTCTATACGACTATTCTTCAAGTATTTGAAGGCAGCTGTCATATCCCACTACCTAAAGACCAATCCTCTTCTCCACAAAGGGACCTCTTCAGCTTTTGCAATACCTCCCTGGAGATTGCTCCCCTCACTATAGTGGCATCATCTTCTGGCCCTGTCACCAGATTAATCTGGGTTTCTGCTCTAACCTTAGGGATGACTTCCTTGACCACACTCAAGAAGCAAAATCTCATCTTTCTTTAGCCAGAGACCCTGCCTTATTTTTCTCATAGCATTTTTCTCTACCCAACATCATATTTTATTTGTATATTTTTATGATCTTCCCCAGTAAAATGTTCATCACAGAGTCCCCAGTCTGTTTCCTGGCACACAGTAGTTACTCAATAAACATTTGTGGAATGAATGAGTGAATATGTTTCACTAGGGGTAAACACATTTTAGCAATAATGTATATAGAAATACTCATATCTTTCCTCCAGGAGCTACATTCTGTAAAGATTTACCTCAGCCCTGGCCAGTTTGGCTCAGCGGTTAGAGCGTTGGCCTGTGGTCCAGAGAGACCCAGGTTCGGTTCCCGCTAAGGGCACATACCTCGGTTGCAGTTTGTCCCCGCTCTAGTGCGGGAAGCAGCCACTCGATGTGTCTCTTTCATGTCGATGTTTCTCTCTCTCTCTCTCTCTCTCCCCCTCCCTCCCTCCCTCCCTCCCACTCTATCTGAACAAAAAATGGAAAAATGTCCTCAGGTGAGGATAAAAAAATTTAAAAAATAAAATAAAAGATTTACCTCACATGATTACAACTACAGGCATGTTTTCATTCTACCATCTCAATGTTTTTAAAAAAACATTTATCATTTATATTATAGTATTATCACATATTTTATGCATTTATACATGCATGTTACTGTATAGGGTATATCAATATATACTAAACCGTGTATATTGTTACTTTATGGGATTTGCATGAGTAGTTTTGACTGTACTCGATTTTTACCCATTCAGTTATAATGCTATGGTACATCTTATTTTTTACATTTTTCAAAGCACTCTCAGATAAATAATCCATTTGATACTTTTCATAAGCTGAGAAAACGTGTCAGAAACTTTCACAGCCAGCTATGGCCACTAGATTCCAATCTCACCCTTTCATTTTACAGATGGATAAACTGAGGGCTCAGAGCAGGCGAGATGCTGGCAGAGGGGCACCGAAGGAGCTGGGATCAGAATTCTGCTCTTCGCCGCCCACCAGCTGCCAGGCACCGCAGCCACCCGACGTCTGTACACTAGCAGGGGCCGAGGCAGGGGGGTCAGATGCCCACGCCCCTCACAGGAGCACTGTGGGGAAGCCATGCCCTTATAATCACTTTTCAGGTGGGGGCTGAAGGCACAATTCCGGGGAGGGGCATCTCCAACGGTGGCTCCTCCCGCCCCCGCAGGGCATCACCTAGTAGGCACGGAAATTCGACAAGCACCCAGCAGGATGGAGTCTTGGTGGATGTCTCATGGGGTGCGTCCGGCCCTCCTCCCATGACCCCGGGACTGGGACCCCGACAGGAACTACCTCCTACCTCATCGGGGCCCCCTGGCTGAGTCTGGCCTTGCCCAACCTTCCCCGTCGCTATGACAATAACGTCATAACGTCCACGTGAGTAACTCTAGCCAATAGTGTCCTCTGTTTCTTTAGCGCGAAAAGTTATTGGCCAATCGTTAGAGACGTTTTAAAAACTGCAGGGAAGCTGCCAGAATTTTAGGCGTCAGCTGCACTACCTCAGGCCTGGTGGGAAAACTTAATAGGGGCTTATCTAGGCGACTCCTCAAAACTCTTGTGATAGAACAAAAGTCTTATTATTTTGCCCACCCAGAAATCCTACTTCAAGGAATAAACCTAAGAACTCACAGTCACTCAACCCCTGTTTATAATAACAACAGAAAAAAGACTGATATGGGCAACTGTACAAAGTCAGCTGTGTGGTGTTCCATGAGCCCCTCCGTACGCGCTGCGGAGCGGTCACAGTCATCTTGTCATTCCCCTGCTTAGAACCCTCCCACAGCTTCCCTTTAAATTTACGTTCAAATCCAAACATCTTAATGTAAGTTGTCCCTGGCCCTCTGAAGGCAGCTCCTACCACTCACGCTGCGGACTCGCACTCGCTACCCTGTCCTTTGGGCAGTTCCTACGATAAACCAACCTCTATCTGCTCCCAGCTGTTCCCTCCGAGCTCTCTCTACCATGACTGGTTCTTTGTCATCATAGAGGTCTCTGCCCAAATGTCATTTCTTCATCGGTGAAATGGGATGAGCTCAATGTCACACTCAGAGGGTTGTTGTGAGGATCTGAAAGGAAATACGTGATAGTGAAAAAGTGTAAGTTCCACGCTCCTGTTGATTATTACAGATGTGCACTAGGGAAACGTCAGTGCTAGTCTCATTGGAGGACCTTAAGTGTTGCTGAGCTGTGCACGTGCTAGGAGGTTGGTATGCAGTGCATCCAACAGGTATTACAGGATGGCAGGCAGATAGATATATATGGCCCTGAAACTTTGGGGGGTAACCAGGTCTTGAAGGATATGCAGGATTTGAATCGTGGTGAGAGCGTGGGGTTGGGGTACAGCTGGAGCAGAGTCTGGGAGGCGGCTGAGGATAAGGAGGGAGAACCCCTGGCAAGCTGCCCACCTGTCCGGCAGGTGAGCGGTCACCAGAGCTCTTAGGATAGCGGAAGGCGGGGAGCTGGGCGTGTTCCAAGGTCCTTCCTGTGGCCGCTAGAGGGGACCCGCTCAAGGTGAGTGCAACGCTCCCGCAGGGTGCCGCCTTCCCAAGTCTCTTCCCCTACGCTTCAACCAAGCCTTGCGGCCTAGCCAATAACAGGGAATGTCCCGCCCACGCCCTCCTCGCAGCCACTCGTCTGAGCGAAGTGCCCTCTAGCTTCTGACTGGCAGGAGGCCGGGCAAGTCAAATCGCGGGCTTTGAAAGCAAAACACTGCAGGACACAGGCAGCACCGAGTTGGGGAAGGAATTAAAGGAGGCTGTGCCTCCGGGTTGCGCGAGAAGTCTAAGTCATTTCTCAGGAATCTCTGATAGGTGGGCCTTAGAGAAAACGCTGCGGGTGAGTAGTGGTTAAGACTGAGGGAGTGGGGACTTGAATTCAGCCTTCGTTTCTGGAAAAGCGAATGCATTTGTAATCATCTAAGATGTCCTAGTGTAAATACCCTTCTTTCTTGCTGTCACCAGCCTTGTCAATGTGCGTCTCACTGCCTCAGCATTTTTTTCCCTTTTTGCATCGAGGGTGAGAGGAGGGGGGCACGGGTTTGCCTTCATAAAGGTGACGATAGGTTTTACCAGATCAGGAAGTGAAATGGAGTAACTTTGCCATAATTATTCCTCTACACGCCGGTTCGGGCTTCCTGGCAATAACAGATGGTGGAGTTAGCAGGTGGAATAAGAGGAAGCATTCTTGATCTACGCTGCCTGCTGGAAGTTGTAATTTCCAGCTCAATGGGAGGGGGCTGGGGAGTATAACCCTTTGGTGAGCCAAAGCCCAGGAAAGGAAAAGCGCTTGGCATCTAACTGGCACTCACTAGCAAGAAGCCGAATCATCAGTTATGACAGGCGTGTTTTATCTCTTTTTTTTAGAGCCAAATTCTAATACAGACCCTGCTCTTAGCAGCTATGAGCTCTAGTTCTCTCATCTGTAAAACCTGCTGTATGGGTTAGTGAAATTAATCATTGAGATAAGGGGGTGGAGTGGAAGCAAGCACCTAGTGAAGTATCTTTCCTTTCTTGAGCAGGGACCCTGTGCTCACTGGTGACTACGAGGGCCTTAAAATTAAGGGATGGCTGGCAACACAGAGTAGGTTATTTGCCACTTGGGCATATGTTAGTCCTGGGAAAGTGCTTTGAAGTCTGGAAAAGAAAGTCACTAGGCAAAGAATGTATGCCTTATAAGGAATGACAACTTGCAAAGTGTTCTTCCAGGGCTTTTAGTGCAAACTCCTACCTGCTGAGAGAAAGCCTGTTTTTTTAGGCAATGCCTCAGAGGCCTTGGGGTCCCTGAGGCAGAGAGGGAAGCTGCTTTTTAGAAGCAAATTAAATGACAACAACAACCACCACCACCACCACAAGCAAAAGCAAAAACAAATCCATCTGGGCAAACCAGCTAGTCTAGAGCAGGTTAACAGGCCTGGATTCCCCTCACCCTGTTGGCGTGACTCCAAGACCTGTTTGCCTTCTCTGATATCCTGTGGGTGGGGTGTACCTGTTGTATCTCTGGAGTTGTGGTTGAGTACCACTCTTGGCTGGGAGGCAGCCAGTGTAAGCAGGTGCTTACAGGCCTGCCTATTTAGCCAGTAAGTAGGTATATATGTATGGAGGTCACTGTGCCAGGTTCTGGACTAGATCTAGGAGGGAGCAACTGAACAGGGAATTCAGCAAACATCTTTCCAGAGTTTGTGCTCCAGTGCCCCTTAAGCTCCAGGGTGTATGCCTCTAGGGGTCTTATACAGGTAGAGAGAGCCCTGGGCCAGTCTTTCTTCCTAAGGCTATTGCATTACAAACTCAAAACAGGTATGCATAAATTTAATACAATAATGCTTTCCCCACACACAAAAATGTGAACTGGTGAATAATTATGAATTCACAAGATTACCAACATTCATGGGTCTTTATAGTCTGGGAGGTCTGGTTATGGAATATAAGTTATAAAGTTGTCTGATGAATGATATATATATATCTCCATCTGAAGGCCCTTTGATAAAGTGACACCTGGGCCAGGTGGTCTTTATGGCTGCCCCTGTGCTAAGCCCTGCATCTAGTGTCTCCTAGATTCTTTACACAGTGTTAGCCCTATGACATATGACTGTGATATTCACACCAGGAACCAGCATTCCTGGCCTAGGGCTGGGCTAGATAACAGAAAACTGGAAGCTACAGGAAAGACAAGAACAGCCTTTTGAAGCCGGAGGGCATGGCAGAGACTGTGTCTGTTTGACACATAGTAAGCCCTCAATAAATATTTGTTGCATGGGTGCATGAAATAAAGGACTATTCATGGGTATATTAAATAATTGAAACTAATAAGAATAAAATGAATACTAATAAAACTGACATTCATTGACCACTGTGTGTGCATTCTACATGCATGACTTCAGCAAATTCTCATCACAACCCTCTGGAGTACAAATGTTATTAATCTATATTTTACAGCAGAGGAAACTGGCTGAAAAGTTAAATGACTTGCCCTGGCCGGTTTGGCTCAGCGTTTAGAGCGTCAGCCAGCCTGCGGTCCACAGAGACCCGGGTTCGGTTCCCACTAAGGGCATGTACCTTGGCTGCAGTCTGTCCCCAGCCCTGGTTGGGTTGTGTGGGTGGCGGCCGCTCGATGTGTCCCTTTCACATCGATGTTTCTCTTTCTTCCTCTCTCTCCTTCCCGCTCTATCTGAGTAGAAAATGGAAAAATGTCCTCGGGTGAGGATAAAAAAAAAAAAAAAAAAGTTAAATGACTTGCCCAAGGTAAAACCCATAGCACATGGCAGATCAAAAGCAATTTAAAACATTTTTATATTAAAGTAAACATAGACTTTGCAGTAAAATTCAAATTTGTATATTTTTAAATATAAGAGGACCTCAAAGAAACCTTTAATATTGGAGGAGGAGCGGGGTATTAGGCCATGCCTCCCATAACACCAGGGCATACTTTCTCTCCTCTATTTGTAGAAAAGTTTGAGACACGCTGAAAATATCAATCCAGTGAAGTGAACAGGAATTACCATCATTGCTGGTTTTACTTGAGGTCACATCATTACCCCTCTTTACAGATGAGGCAGCTGGCCCTCCCAGAGGCGAAGTGACCTGGTCACACAGATCTTCAGCCTCCCAGCCGCGCGTTACCTCTCTGACCCTTGGTAGCAGCCCAGTTCTTCCCTCTTCTGTGTAGATAACATTTCTTATTCTTTCTTTCCCAAGTCAGAAAGGCAACCCAGTAGGATGTTTTTCTTTTTGAGGCCTGGAGAAGTAGACATGGGGAGTATTCTACTAGGTAGGGGAGACTGTGGAAAAGGTAGGACTTAAATTAGGATATGTTGGGAGGAAGGAAGCAGAGGGGGAGGGAAAAGGGAATTTTTAAGGGTCAAGAAAAAAGATTTTGAGTTGGATGAGCCATATCTTTATTAAGGGGGCCAAAGGCATGATATAATTTTTTTTACATGGCTTCGCTTCTCTTAACAGTTTGTTCTTTATCCTAATGGTATTCTCGGGTAACAAAGCTGGTCTCAATGTTTCATTGTACATGCATTTCTAATGTTCCCTCCCTTCCCCCCACCCCATAGCACTGCAGGAATCAGGAAACGCATCCCTGGTTGTCGGCTTGGGAGAGGCATAGAGATTGGCACTTCTGTGAGTGAAGATGTGTAAACGGCTGTAAATCAGCCAAAAGGGCCTTGAAGGACGATTTCGGCGTGAGACAGACATGGCCAGTGGAAGGAGGTGAACACCACGAGGGAGGATGCCTCCCCACTTCGGACCCGCCTAGCGGAGCCCAGCTTGGAGCCAGGCCCACGGATGTGCGGTTAGACCACCATGGACGGAGCGCTCGGCGCAGCCCTGCAGCTGCAGCAGCTCCCGCCCACCAGCAGCGCCGACGCCGGGAGCCAGGGTTCCTTCTCCTACAAGGCAAGAGGTTTTTTTTGGTTTTGGAATTTGATGCCTCTCTAACAAGAAAGGAACACAGCACAGCATCGGCTAATAGAGATGTCCAGGGTCTGGCTGCCTGTCTCTGGCAGACACCGGCAGTCCCTCCACACACACGGGAGAACATATAATCAAAAAGAAAGAAACTCTTGTTCCAACACAGAAACTAGGGAGGTAGAGAAACATTTTTAAAGGAATGCAGTCACACTTAGAAAATTTGATTTTTTTTTTTTAATCGCCTATCCCATTACTCATAGACAACCTTGGTTCATACTTCAGTATTATTTGCTTCCTGTCTTTTTCCAGTATAACAAATTTGGGATCCGATTGTATAGGAAGTTTAGTATCTTGGTTGTTTCAGTTAACCTTGTTTGTGGAGTGTCTCCCCATGTCATTGCGTAGTGATTGAAAGCATGCTGTTGGAATGATTGCCCAATAATCTGTTGAGCGCCTATATTAAAACTTGCTGGACAGATCCCCCCTTGTTGGATATTCAGATTGTTTCTAACCGGTGGTGACTGTAAACAGGCTGCAGTGAACATCCCAGTGTGCATGTTCCTTTGCTATGCTAAGAATTGGCCAGGCCAGTGAGAGGCAGCCTGTCCCTAGTCAGCGAGACCACAAATGCCAGAGCATCAAGAATACAGAAAATAAGAAAGTATTGTTCATACAATGGTCCTGTAATGAATGGATGCCAAATAGACAAATGAAGAATCAAAGAAAACACAACACTCTCCCTAAGGAGATTTCTAATAAGTTTCCATTTTAATCACAAACTAATTCAGTTACTTATTATAGGAAGATCTTCATGCCAGAGCAAAGACACCTAATTCGTGGTGACTCTACCAAAGAGCTTAAGAATTGAGGCGGGAGACAAGCATATGAACAAAGAGGTTTGAGCTAACCAAAGTACCAGGTGGGGGAAAAGGAAGACCTACGTTCAAGTCCTACTCTGCTCCTTTCTAGCAATGTGACCTTGAACATAATGGCTTAACCTGTCAGAGCTTCTGTTATGGGTAGAATGGTGGAAGTAATTCCTCCCTCCATCCCTCATCCCTCCGGGGCTGTGTGGATCAATGAACAGGTACCCAGCCCAGTGCTGGGCATGAAGGAAGTACTTGACTCAGAAATGCCTCATGGTTACAAAGAACATAAAGGTGCACAGAGCAGAAGAAAGTGTAAGGGAGTAAGGGAAAAGGTTTTTAAGGGAAGCTGTCTCCTTCCTTTGATTTTGTTAAGGCTATTTTGGTTGCAAGGAATAAAAACCCATTTCAGAAAAGCTAAGGCAAAAGGGGAAATTATAAAGCTACTGGGTAGCTCATGATACCCAAGGGCAGGAAGGGCAGAAGGTGCTAGAACTCTTACATCTGTCGTCAAAAGAGGGAAGATCTGAGTGAGCCAGCTTGGGTCAGGTGTCTACATTGGTCCAATCAGTGGTGGCAGAGGGGTGGCGCCACCCAGCAAACATGTTATCTGGGGCTCCATCACTGTGGGAAACTCAGAAAAAAATGGTCATGTGGTCTGAGCAGGCTGCCTTCAAATCATCTCTTTCCTTTGGGGCAAGTTAAACATTAAGAGACTCCAAGTCCCACCCCAGCAAACATGTTCTCTGGGGCTCCATCACTGTGGGAAACTCAGAGAAAAATGGTCACGTGGTCTGAGCAGGCTGCCCTCAAATCATCTCTTTCCTTTGGGGCACGTTAAACATTAAGAGACTCCAAGTCCAACTTGATCAGTGAGGTGAAGTTAGGAGCAAGCAGTTTGCCTTGAATTACAGCCCTGCCCTCTGCCCTACCCAACAGGGAATGGATTCTGGTTGTCAGGGGACCAATAGGCTGAGCTGACGAGGAGGCAGCATGGCAGCCAGTCCTTGACATTGGAGGCTGTGCTTCAGCCCAGAAGAGTCAGGCCTCAATTTCTTCTATTTAGCAACTAGGCATTTCAACAGAGCATACATATCCAGGCCTGCACTGGGTGGGGTGGGAGCTGTGTACATTACTGAGATATCGCTTCTCTGAAGGAGCTCACAATCTACGAGGGAGGTAGGGGAAGCTGTTTCCACCAGTACTTACCATTCAGGACAGAATTTTGTGCAAAAATAGAGATGTAGCCCGGCTGTTGTGACTTAGTGGATTGAGCATTGTCCTATGGACTGAGAGGTCCCAGTTCGATTCCCAATCAGAGCACAGGCCCGGTTGCAGGCTCATTTCTAGTAGGGGGCATGCAGGACGCAGCAGATCAATGTTTTTCTCTCACATCTATGTTTTTTTTCCTTACCCAAGGACATTTTTCCATTTTTTATTCAGAGAGAGTGGGAGGGAGAGAGAGAGAGTGAAACATGAACATGAAAGGGACACATCAAGTGGCTGCCACCCGCAGGACCCAACCAGGGCCAGAAACAAACTGCAACTGAAGTACATGCACTTAGCGGGAACCGAACCCGGGTCTCTCTGGACTGCAGGCCAACACCCTAACCGCTGAGCCAAACTGGCCAGGGCTCATCTATGTTTCTCTCTCTCTCTCTCTCTCTCTCTCTCTCCCCCCCCCCCTTCCTCTGTCTCTAAAAGAAAAAAAATCAATTAAAAAAACAGAGATATAACAGGGTCTTAGGAGAATGGACTTTGGAATCAGAGATGCGTGGTTTCAAATCCCAGCTCTATCACTTTCTAGCATTATAACTTGGGGAAAGCCATGTAACTGCTCTGTAGGTCAGTTTGTTTGTTTTTTTTCCTTCAATCCTCACCCGAGGATATTTTTCCATGTTTTATTTTCAAACAGAGTGAGGGGGGGGCAGAGAGAAACATCGATGTGAGAGAACACATCGATTGGTTGCTTTCCACACGACTCTGATCGGGGCCGGGGACTGAACTGCAACCGAGGTACGTGCCCTTGACTGAAATCAAACCCACGACTCTGGTCCATGCGCCGATGCTCTACCTGCTGAGCCAAATCATCCAGAGCAACTGCATGTCAGTTTTAAATCCATCCTAAAGGGTAGTTATGAGGATGACCTGAATTTAGAGGAAACTGAAATGACCTGTACCATCCCATTTCTGTCTTCAGAAATCCTACCCATCCTCCCAGCTCCAGCTCAAGTATCGCCTTTTCCACGAAGCTTTTGTTAGTCTTCCTAACAGGAAACTATCAGTCCTTTATCCACACTTCCATAGCCAATTCACAATTACTGTAGCAATCATCATCATCCTAGCAGCTAACATTTGTTGAGTGTTTACCATATGACAGGGACTGTGCTAATCTTCACAAAACCCTCATAAAGTAGCTACTATTTTTTTTTTATCCTCACCTGAGGACATTTTTCCATTTTTTGTTCAGATAAAGTGGGAGAGAGAGAGAGGAAGAGAGAGAGAAAAAAAAACATCGATATGAAAGGGACACATCGTGTGTCTGCCACTTGCACAGCCCAACCAGGGCCGGGGACAAACTGCAACTGAGGTATGTGCCCTTAGTGGGAACTGAACCTGGGTCTCTAGACCACAGGCCAACTCCCTAACTGCTGAGCCAATCCGGCCAGGGCAAAGTAGGGATACTATTATAATCCCATTTTACTTATGAGGAAATTGGTACAGAGAGCTTAATGAACTCCAAGGCCACACAGTCAGTAGGTATAGTAAAGCTGGGATTTGGATGGAGGCTGTGCACTGCCAAGGCCCTTGGTGGTATCCCCCACTCCCTGCTGCCTGCATTATGCCAGCACTCTGGGAAGCACCTTCTCTCCCTGACTGGTTATTCAGTGTTGAAATGGCAGTGCCTCGCCTGCTGGAGAAGGTAAGCGAAAGGAGCTGGCCTGAAACCAGGTTACAGGTGTAGCAGAGCCCGGTATGTCTTGTATTTGAATGTGAGTAACTCTCAGGGCAAGCCAGAACGATTATGCTTAACTGTTAGCAGTTTAAGCCCAAAGGATTGTGGGAATTCAGTTTCAATAACAAGTGATGACTGGTCTTGTCACTGTGAGATCTAAATAAAGGCTGTTTTTGGCAGATGTAAAGCAGACCTTGGAACAGGAGATTTGAGCTGAGGTTTCTTTTTTTTTTTTTTATCCTCACCCAAGGACATTTCTGCATTTATCTTCAGATAGAGTGGGAGGGAGAGAGAAGAGGCACGTGCCCTTAGCGGGAACAGAACCTAGGTCTCTGGTCCGCGGGCCGACGCTCTAACCACTGAGCCAAACCGGTGAGGGCTTGAGCTGAGGTTTCACTTGGATACCAGTATCCCAGCAAAGTGTCCTGTCTCTGTGACCTTTGGCTGCTTTTCTGGGAACAGTTTCTTTCAGAGCTGTAGCTGGTAAAAGATGGATTCTTGGATCAGAGAATATCAGAGGCAGAAGATCCTTAAAACTGTTGCTAATAGTAATGATAGCAATAAAAATGAGAATTGTAAAAGCAATAGTAACAGACAGAATTGTTTTCGTATTTATTATGTGTCATGTAATGTTTCAACACGTGCCTTATTTCCTGTAACATGACAATCCTATGACGATCTACAATCCGCTCCATTTTCCACAGGGGAGGCTGAGGCTCCTAGGGTCACACAGCAGTCAGTGGCAGAGGCAGGGCCCCAGCCCAGTCTGCTGGGATTCAAAGTCCACACAGGGAAGCTGAAGCAAAGAGAGAAGTGGCTTTGGGTTTGCTGTACCCTCTCCGGGATATTTGGGTCTGTTGAAGCCATGGCTAGAAGCAGCTGAGTCTGAAATCCAGCTGCCTGCCCATAGTTTCGCCCTCACCCCACTTTCCTCGCCAGTAACACTCCCCATTCAGATACTGCACTATGAGTACAGTGACCAAAAGTCCTGGTTTGTGCCTCATGTCCATGTGTATTAATAAAGCCCCCTATCATTCTCAAAACATCCCAATTTGGGCTAGATATGCCCTAAATAATGAGGTTCCTGACCATTGGGAGGAACTTCCTCACCTGTAAAATACTGGGAACCAGAGTGTTAGGAGACCTGTGTTCAGGTGTGGTCC